AGTTACTGTTATAATGATAAATTTATTATATACCCCCTTATAACTGGCTAAATAAATTAGAAAAAACCTTTAGAGAACAATTGTATAATATTAATCCATTAAACAAAGCATAATTACAAGGGACTTTTTAACGCGCAAGAAAAATAACGTCATATTTCTGCGTACTACGTCATTAGTTTCAGAGAGTGGTGATATGGATTCAGAAAACAACATGTTGGTGATCCGGAAAATCGGATCACGACGTCACGTGATAGCGTAAATTCAACAGTAAAATTGAGTGATACACGTTAGGTATATAATAAAAAGCCAGAAACGTGTATATTGATGATGAAAATTTTGTGATCACATTTTGTAGTGCCAAACGATGCATTAGCCTTCTAGACATTGTTTTTGCATATTTGCAGTCAGTAAAAATTTCTTGTAATCATGGTATGGCTGACGGAAGTTACATTGGGTCTACAAATTGAATTGCATAAGTGAATAAAAAGGCAACAACACGTTGCTGTGCAGATTGTTTTTAACTTTTCAACCCAAAAATTTTTTTTTTCGGTTGTCAGATAGTAACTGTAAAGGTTTCCAACCATTCCAACCATGATGGTGACGTTGGCGCGTAACAACTTCACATAAAGATAGGACTTTTAATCATGCCACCTTGATTATCGTCAAGGCATTATCACTGAAACCGATGATTATACAACAGACAATCATACTCATGTTTTTAAAATTGACAGAAACTCCCTGCTCTTATTTGGTCCATGAGCTTGGCAACTTACGTTGATTTTACTCTCACACGTGCACGTACGCATCTTATGCGTAATGTTTTTAGCATGTTCACACTGTGAAAATGTTGCAGTGTTTGTCGAGACTTTCTTACAAACATTCACATGTACCAAATAAGCTGAATTCTGTCAATTCTACCCTAAATCGAAAATTCGCGGGATTCATTGGGTGGGGGGATTTCTTGGCTTTGGAATGTTACAGCTACTACCGTCGGAAGGTTGAATAATAATCCTATGAGCATGATGAGAAAGAGAAATGGTCTAATGAACTCAATGCTCAAGAGAATCAATGCTGTTACTGATGCGCAAGGGAGATGATGAGAATTTTTATTTTAATTGGGGGTTGGGGGGGTTGGTTGGTATCGACATATCAATTTCAATAACTCATGAATTATCAGTCAAAATCACACAAGATTTTGGTAATTTGTTGATTAAAGATGAATTTAAATGTTTAATAAGAATACTGGAAAACACATTTGAAATGATAGTTTTAATTTAACTAAAAAGTTTACAATGTGTTTTTTTTTTCCTTTCAGTATATATTTAAATGTTTTGAATCAATAATGATATAAAGATCAAGGTGATAGCAAATTTTGAATAATTATTATTAAAAAAAAACCAGACAACTAAATTTTTCCACGTTGGTTTTACAGTTATTAAACGCTTGTATTTGAAGTGTATTTTGTAATGACAGGAGACAAGAAATTGGAAATGAATTATAATACAATTTTTTTTATAAAATTTATGAATTAAATGATTCATATAATTTTTTAACCTGAGTAAGCCTGAGTAAACTCATGTGACCTATTGCTATCCGTTTTTGTGCGTCGTCTGTCATGTGTTAACATTTGAACATTTTCAGCTTCTTCTCTGCAACCGGTCAACCAATTTCAACCAATTTTCGTACAAAGCATTTATGGGTGAAGGGAAACAAAATTTGTGACTTTCATGGTCCGTGCCCCCTTGGGGCCTGAGGGGCGGGGCCAAAACTACTAAGATTAAGGCAATCTATAAAAATCTTCTACTTTACTCCTGGCCATAAAGTAGTCGAACTGTTGGCATAATTATAATCAGCATTGAGTCGGATCCTCTACCAAAATTCTGAAATTCATGGTCCCAGAATCAGGGATTCAAGTACTATGGCGGGGTTATATAGATTATATAGTGAAAATGCATTATTTCATTGAAAATCCTCTTCTCTCTCCTGGGAATTAAATAAACTAACCAAGTACATAGTTATGTTGAATAAGTCTGCCTCTTCCAAAATTTTGAATTTCATGGCCCCAGGGTCAGGGTTTCTGGTGTTAGAGCAAAGCCCTATTGATTATATAGTGAAAATGCATAAATATTTTGAAAATCATCTTCTCTGCTCCTAAGTATTAAATAAACTAACAATGTAAAAAGTTATGATGAGCAAGAATGTCTCTTCCAAAATTGTGAATTTCATGGCCCCTGGGTTAGGGATTCTGGTGTTAGGTAGGGGCTCTATTGATAATACAATGAAAATACATTTATTCTATAAAAATCTTCCTCTCTGCTCCTATGTTTTAAACAAACTTACCGAGTACATGGTTATGTTGAATAAGGCTGCCTCTTCCAAAATTGTGAATTTTATGGCCCCTGGGTTGGGGGTTCTGGTGTTAGGGTGGGCCTCTATTGATTATATAGTGAAAATGCATAAATTCTTTTAAAATGTTCTTCTCTTCTCCTGGGTATTAAACCAATAAACTATGTACATTTTTAATATAAGGAAGGATGCTTCTTCCCAAGTTGTGAATTTCACGGCTTTTCAGTCAGGGGTTCTGGTGTTAGGGCGGGCGGGGCTCTAATGATAATATAGTGAAAATGCATGAATTCTTTGAAAATCTTTTCCTTTGCTCCTTGATATAATGCCAATGATATAAGTACATATTTATAATGAAGAAAGGTATCTCTTCCAAAATGATTCATTTCAGGGCCCCTGAGTTAGGGGTACCAGGGGGTGGGTGGGGGTACTTAGTCTGAAATTAAATTAATGCTTTAAAATATGCTCTGATATTAATCAAAGATTTATAATGATGAAAGAAAATTTATGATAAAATTTCCTAAATTTTGAAATGTTTGGCCCCAGGGTTAGTGGTTCCTGTGGGGTGGGGTACACAACTGGTTATAAAGTGGAAATGCATTTCCTCTTTCTTACTCTGATCTACTTATGCGTATTAAGTAACCAAAGTAAGCATGCTAAGTGTATAATTATGATGAACAATGGTGCCTCTTTCAAAATTGGGAATTTCGTGGCTTTTGGTTTAAAACACGAACCAAATTCAATTGAGTGAAATTTTTTATATGATACTCAGGTGACCTATAAGGCCTGTGGGCCTCTTGTAAAAGAATCCAGTATATCACATATTGCTTTATTAATTACTGAAGAAAAAGGAACGGTTTAGGCTTCATTGTGCCCTAAAAATTTAATGTTCTTAAAAATTTAACAAGAGTTGAGTAGATGAATATGATAAATCATTAAAGAATGTGGTATTAAGAAGGACCGTTCCGGAAATATGAAATCATTAATTTGGTACATTTCTAGGTTTAATGCGGAAAAACCTCAGAATGACTCATTTCTGTGCTTATTTTCCTTTAGAGAATACTGTAAACCAACTTTTATTTGTGACAACTTTATTTCGTGATTTACTGGATTAAAACTAGCTTGCGACGTTTAATTTTCGCGATCAAACCTTTTTTGATCTGTCTTTAAAAGACACAGAGACTTTATTTAAGTGAAATTTTTCACTGGTTGGCGGTGAGAAATATTCTCAATGATGAGGCTCTCGCAATCTTCAAATTTCTAACACGTGAATAAAAGTCGGTTTACGGTACTGTCTGCCACCGTCGCCCACTTCAATATTTGGATATATTATGTAAACTGCTTTGAAAAATCACATATCTCAAAATCTTTATGGGCTACGGTGGCAGAGTATGTTTTCTGAAAGAAAATTCCACTGAAAATTGATGTCTTCTGCAACTTTTTAAGAAAAGAAGGAAAATGCACAAGTTAATGACATCACAATTAGCATTTAGGTCATTTGAGAAAAAAATATTTGTGTATTCTTACTGCATGGAATTCCTATGAATCAGAAAGAATGAATTTTAATTTCTTATGTCACTTTCATATTTTTGAAAAAAAACGGGCTTAGTTTGTATTGAAACTGTACCTTGTTCTTTATTAAATATATATATATATATATATATATATATATATATATATATATATATATATATATATATATATATATATATATATATATATATATATATATATATATATATAGTTAATAAATAGTCAATAATAAAAAAAGAAACTACTAAAAATCTAGAGAATTTTAGCATTCAATATCTTGGTGTTTTATTTAATGCTAAGTTTGTATAACATATATGGAGTATGCCAAAAAATATGAGCGTTCAATATCAAAAGCGTTGTAAACAAAAAATATTGTCTGGTCAACATGTGAAGGGGAAATGTATGATAGGTAGTTGCTGCTAGATAAGATGTGGTTATTTTCGCACAAAATTCTATTTATTGTTATTAATTTAGTATATATTACTGATATTAGCCTCAATAAGCAAAGCATAAGGCTTGGTAGGGTAAATGGAATGATGCAATATTGATCACTTACAAGACTAATATTAATTTAAATACATATAATGAAATGTTCCTATTAATCCCCTTCCCCGCAATCACGCATTTTAACGCAAATACCATTTCTTATTTCAATTAAAGGATATGCTATAAACCTTCAAGAAAGTCAAGGTCATGGAGTTCAGTGACAAATTCTGAAGGACTCACAAATATAAACATATAAGACACAACCTTGTGTTGCTTGCCTGCATAGCGCAGTGGTAGAGCATTTGCTCTAGAGTCACGGAGTAAGCAGTTGATCCTTATGTCGCAGGTTCAAATCCCACTGTGGGATGTGGAGATGGGTCCTTCAGATGAGACCATAAAAACTGAGGTACCATGTCGCAGTAGATTCTGGTTTGAAACTATCCCTCACTGCTCAATGGCCTTGAGTGCTGATCAGTATAGGTCAAAATTTGCACCTCACCACCAGCAAGTGGTGGCATCTCCATATAAGTGAAAATTTCTCAAGAGGGATATTAAACAACAAACAAAAACAAACAACCTTGTATTGTAACAGAAAATAATAAAGAGAGAAATATACAACGGATTTGTATTTCTTATAGCTCCCTCAGATGATTTTGATATTCTGTTTGATACTTCAATTGGAGAGGAGGGAGCTTCCACCACAGCTGTTATACCTGGTGACTCAGAAAAAACAGATTTGTCCTTCATGATGTGGGTAAAATTCAACAAAGGACAAAAAGAAACGGAAGATGCTGTATTGTTAAGAATCGGGTTTGTTTAACGTGAATTTTATGAATTTTCTGCTTGATCATTTCTAGTATTATTTTCATATACAATATAAAGAGTTTTATTAGCTCACCTGAGCCAAAGGCTCAAGTAAGCTTTTCTGATCAAAATTTGTCTGTTGTCGTCGTCGTTGTAAACTTTTAGCATTTTTGACTTTTTCTCAAGAACCAATGGGCCAATTTCAACCAAACTTGCCACAAAGTATCCTTAGGTAAAGGGGATTTAAGTTTGTTCAAATGAAGGGCCATGCCCTTGTCCAAGAGGAGATAATCCAAAATTAGTGTAAAATTAAATGCATCTTTTAAAAATCTTCTCCAGAACCATTTGGCCAGGAAAGATGAAACTCATGTGGAAGCATCCTCCGGAAGTGTAGATTCAAGTTTGTTCAAATCATTACCCCCGGGTGTAGGGCTGGGCAACAATGGCTGATCAAAGTTTTATATGGGAATATATAGGAAAAATCTTTAAAAATCTTTTTCTCCAGAATCATTGGACCAGGAAAAATAAACTCATATGGGAGGATCCTCAGGTAGTGTAGATTTAAATTTGTTCAAATCATGACCCCCAGGTGTAGGGCAGGGCCACAACGGAAAATCCAAGTTTTAAATAGGAATATATAGGGAAATTCTCCAAAAATCTTCTCCAGAACCGTTCGGCCAGGAAAGATAAAACGTATGTGGAAGCATCCTCAAGTAGTGTAGATTCAAGTTTGTTAAAATCATGACCCCCTGTGGGAAGGGCGGGTTCACAATGGCTGATCAAAGTTTTACATAGGAATACATAGTAAAAATCTATTAATAATCAAGATCATCAAAGCCATGATTGGTGCTAATACAAATGGAAACATCCTTAGTTAGAGTTAATTCAAGTTTGTTCATATCAGGGTTGACCCCTGGGAGTAGGGTGGGGCCATAATGTGCAATCAAAGCTTTGCATAGAAATATATAGGATAAATCTTTAAAAAATCTTTTCAAGAACAGCAAAGCCATGGCATGATTGGTGATATTTATGCGGGCACATCCTCAGGTAGCGTAGTTTCAAGATTGTTTGAATAAGAATTCTTGGTGGTAGGGTGGGGACACAATGTGGGATCAATTTTTACATAGAAATATATACTTTAATATCATTAGAAATGTTCTGGAGAACACCAAATCCATGATTAGTATTTTTTTATATCGAACTATTGGAAGCATCCTCAGGTGGTTTAGATTCAGGTTTGTACAAATTATGACCCCCGGAGTTACATGTAGAGTATGGCCACAATGAGGGATCAAAGTTTTGCATAAGAATATGTAGGGGAAAAAATCTTCTCTAGACAGAAAAGTTTTGTTTAGTCAAATTGACATGTAAGCATCTGCAAGTAGTGAATAATTAAATTTATTCAAATAATGTCCAACTGGAAGGGGTGGGGGTAGTGAGGGGTCACAATGGGAGATCAAGTAATATGTTGGAAAAATCTTCTCAAGTAATAGAAAATTCAAATCCCCCTCCCCCAACAAGTAAACTTTTCAATACTGAGCTGATTTGTTATTTTAACTAACTCATGTGCTCAGGTGAGTGATGTGGCCGATGGGCCTATTGTTATTTGGTAATTTCTAGTAATAGGTTAGGAAAATTTTGTTACATGTAAAAATGAATGTGATTTGCTGTCATATATCTTTCAAACCAATTAAAATTCTAATCCAGTTAATCTGGTTAATCAGTCTAAAATGCAGATTGACCAGTACTGTCTAGCAATAGAATTTTTTTTCTTTACATTTTGAAAAGTAATCATGTAACAGATGAAGGCTTTTTAGAAAATGACATAACAAGTACATGCATTTTCATACTGTTTGCACAATGAAAATAAACACAGCATTTTTTTAAACAAAGTATGATGTGCCATATGGCCCCGAATTTTACAATTATTTTTGCATATACTTAATCATCCAGATCCAATGCCACTTTATCCGAAAAAAAGATCATATGTAAGAATATATCACTTATTAAATTTCAGGTAGGTTTACACTGTCTACATTCAATTCTCATTCATTTTTAGTCCTGTTTCACGTCATGTGGTTTACAATCTTATCATTTGCTTGGGTACATTCAAACCTACTTGTCAGCTCATGTCATAGCAATTTTAAGGTTTATTAATATAAGTTTATACTGTAAACGTTTTTTTTGACGAGTTGAAAAATTGACAATTTTTTGTTTACGAAAATTGACGAGTGTTAATTTCATGAAATATTGAATCAAGAGTTATGTATTTGTGCTTTTATAAGGTAAAAAATAATGAATACGAAGTACTTAAAAATCGAGTTTCAAAACTGGTATTCAGAGAAAATGCGCTAGAAATTATAAGACAAAAAACAGTAACACTTATAGAAACATTGGCTTCATTTACATAAACTTGCATGAGAGCTGCTTTATGCAAAATGGATCCTGAAGGTTCATGCTGTTGTAAACAAAGACCACTACTACCTCATGAACTCAGTTACAAGCGTGTGCTTCAATAAGATTTAATTTTGCTTGTAAAAACCATCTACAGTGTATAAGATATTAATCAGTAACTTTGGTCTAGTTTTAATGGGGGGAAGCCAAAAAATTAAGCGGTAAAGTTGTACATGTATAACGGTCAATGTTTATTGTGACGCTATTATGATGTTAAGTTTGACAAATGTAAATTTCGACGAGAAAAGAAAAATCATCAATATAGTTATAATTAGCACGTCGTCAAATTTCCACGTTTACAGTAAATAATATATTACATGTAATAGCTTTGTCAATTGCCGTGATTTAGTATGAACTTCTTAAAAACCAAAATTATAGTGGCAGTTGAAGCTATACAAATGGTAGATTAAAAATGGAAATTCTTAGTAAATATAGTTTCATATATTGCCGAAAATTTGTAAAATAATAGAATGTTGTTTTATGTCCCTTGCAATAATTTTTCATTCGTATATGATATGTCGCCAAATACCTGTTAAGGGTTGCAAATTTCAACCTTTACTCAGCAGTCAGGACCATTGAGCAGTGAAGGTTCTTTAAAATGCAATTGCCTACCATACCACATCCAGCCTTGTAAAATGAATAAACTACAATAGCTTCTTTTCTGGATATGGACATCTAGCAGGAAAACAAGTTGCATGATCTAACATTTAATGTACAGCTAAAATACTGTCAAAATTGTAAAATTTATAGGCCCAAGACCGAGGGTTTAGGCTCTAGGGTGGGTCTAAGTAAATCATGCATATAAACTTCTAGGGCTGCACAATAATATCAATATTTCGGTATATTGTGATTTGTTAACAAAAAATATCGCATTGTGATGGGGTTTCTTCAGATCCTTGTGTAGCGATCTATGTGAGTGGATCAAAAGATCTGATTTTAATCAGATTGGGTCATATATAAGAAAATAATTTGTATTATTATATGATCGAATAATTTCCATCTCTCTGATTGGCTGAGATCCAACTATGTTAGAAAAATACTACGTTGTATTGACCTGCACGTGACGTTCCAGGTCAATACAAGGATTTATTTCCTCTACATTGATCTAAAAATAGATTGGGAAATTCCAAATTGATACAAATTGTTTTGGAAAGCTATTTAAACGACTATGATTTTTTTTTCATGTGGACAAAACATAAACGAATATATATTTTAGGGTGAGGGTGGTAAGAGGGGATGCAGGGACCCCCCTCCAACACTTTTACTGAACAACAATTTTTTTAAAAACTTTTTGGCAGTCATTTTTCCTGATAATACTCCTTCCTTTCAAAATCTATCCTATAAAAAAGACTGACCTGATACATATTTTTTTCATGGCAACTAAAATTGATAAAAAAAAAAACATTTCAAATTGATAAGACTGGTAAGGTTTATTCACATTTTAATTCTGCTTCTCTCTTGTATTTGGCTAGGACTTAATTAATTAAATGCAAACAAGTAATGAGCTGTATTATTTTATCAGTGAATCATATAATAAAACAATTATTGCTGTTTTTTCGGTCAATACAATGATTTAGCCATCTTCGAAGTACAATATTCACCTCGCCCTTCGGGCTCGGTGAATATTGTACTCCTCAGATGGCTAAATCATTGTATTGACCTCAAAAAACAGCAATAATTGTATATGATCTTACTTCATAGAGTTCGAAAAATTCAGAGAGCATGAGTTTTAATTTCTCTCAACAATTTCATATTTAATAAAGACCTGGATTGTATCGAATCTCTACTTTCTTGTTTTGTGGTATTTGCTTAATTTAATGGCATAATTAATTTTTCAGGGATGTCCTAGAAATCAAGAATAATACCATCACCTTCATGAATAGAACAACCTCTCGTACTGTATATATTGGGTTTGAAGAACTTCCATTTAGATTGGATAATGGCAATTGGAATTTCATTGCTGTATCATGGAAGCGAAATGGAGACACTTTAGTCCTTGTAGAGGGGGTACTTATTTTTGAGGACAGCTCGGTTACCTTTGAACTGCCTGAAGTGTAAGATATTTAACAGATTTCTTATCAATACAAGTAATTTTATTGTATACAGTTTTGTTTTGTTTGTTTTGAACATATTTTATTTAAAGAATCAAATGGATTACATACAGTATACAGTTCTTAGAATTATAAGATCATATAATATCTAGAATTTTCCCTAGTAATTATGCATTGTCGGAATCTGCTTTGCTTAGCCCATATTTGAAATTCTTTGGCAATTAGCCTCATTTTACATTTAATTTTGTTTTATACTTCTGGAACCTTGACAGTGTCGTATTATACTGAAGTGATCATTAAGGTCCTTGGGCCTGGTTACTAGGTCACCATTGAACATTTTCAGCTTTTTCTCTGAAACTGCTCAACCAGTTTCAACCAATTTTGGCATATAGCATCTATGAGTGAAGGAGAACAAAAATTATGACTTTCAGGCTCCTTGCCCTCCTGGGGGCCTGAGGGGTGGGGCCAAAACCACTAAAATTAATGCAATCTTTAAAAATCTTCTTCTTCTTCACTCCTGGACATCAAGCTGTTGGCATGATTGTAATCAGCAATGACCCCTCTACCAAATTTTTTAATTTAATGGCCCCAGGGGTTCTGGGGCTAAGGCAGGTCTCTGGTGAATCAGTGTTTGAAACTCACTGTAAATTTAGCTAGACATGCAGGGCTAATTGCTGGTAAAGGTTGTCAGCCCTGCCAAAAATGTACTAGTCTGAAAAAAATAATTGTCTGTAATAACTTTGTTTTAGCAATATTGTAAATGGGGGCAGCTCACTGTAAATCGATCCCGGATCTATAGGCTGATGAATTTTACCCATTCGCTTGTAACACTTTGCATACATTATACTATTAGTTTTGCTAATTTTAGAGAGTTTTATAAAATATCTAAATTTTTAGGTCACCTTAGTCACTCAGATGACCTATTGCTATCCATTTTCGTCTGTCGTCGTGCATTTGTGTGTTAATATTTGAACATTTTCATGTTTTTCTCTAAAAGCACTAATTTAAACCAATTTCAGCCAATTTTAGCATATGACATCTATGGGTGAAGGGGAACAAAAATTATGAATTTCACAGTCCCTGCCCCCCTGGGGCCTGAAGTGTAGGGCCAAAACCATCTGAATTTTATGGCCCCAGGGTCAGAGGTTCTGATGCTAGGGCGGGGCTCTATTGAATAGATTGTAGAGTGAAAATACATGAAATTCTTTGAAAATCATCTTCTCTGTTCTAGATATTAAGCAGATGAACTACCTATATACAGTCCCTGAAACGTTCTACTTTCCCATTTTTCCGTTCGCTCACCGTTCGTTCACCGTTCGTTCAGCGTGCGTTCACCGTTCGTTCAGCGTGCGTTCACCGTTCGCTCTTCGTTCACAGTATTGCGTTCAACGTTCACCGTGCGCTCGCGTTCACCGTTCACAAAACGTTCACCGTTCGCTCTTCGTTCCGTTTACTTTGCGTTCACCTTGCGTTCACCGTTCACTTATCGTCCAGTCTTCATTGCCAATCGGAACTCCGAAGTGAAAGGACTTATCTTTTTGATGGTAAGGATTTACATGTTTTTTTATTAATTAAATAACTTAGATATCGTGTTAAAAGAATAATTATTTCGTTGCAAAAATTATCTATAATATTTATATTTCTATTATTGTAACTCAGCTGTTACTTATTTCATGAATATTCCCTGGAAAATAATCAATACATTAAGTACCTATATGTATGTAGAACGATGCTAAAATATTAAATTCAAAAAAGGGCAATGTACAAATGCTTCCCGCACGGCATAAATTTGATGTTATTTTAAAGAGGACAAATTATTAATGGATGTATAATAATTAATCCAAGTCTTTTACAGGACAAGAATACATAAAAAAAATATTTCTACAGTTACACGTATTTAAACTACATGTAGGTTTGAGAATAATGAACAGTACTGCAAATATTCAGTTAATTAAACATCTTAAGAGCTAATTAAGTTGATGGTGTGGTTTTAAATTTTAGAAAAGACCAACTGTTTAAAATATTCTATTATTAGAGAAGAAAAATTCCTTCCTTCTCCGTACCTAAACATGTTTAAAAATATGTTTTTTGCTATTCAGTATCATTAAGCACCCCCCCCCCCCGTGCCTTTTCTACCGAAATAAAATTCTTATTGAGTTTTTTCAGTATATTTTAATTAATATTTAATTTTTATTGTAAAACAAGAAAATCAGTCTTAAAACCAACATCAAACAGTCATTAATTAATAGTATTTTAGTATAAACTTGTGCCGACAGTAGTATTTTAAATTGGCAGGGAATATATTTTACATTCAATTTAAAACTTAATCCTTCCAAGTATATATTCGAATTTTTTTTACTGCAGGAATGCAAAAATCAGATCTAAAAACGATAGGGACAAATATTAAAATTTCTAGGAATACTAAGTGAATCCTTGCCTACGGCATGTTCGGTGAAACGCGATTTCCACACCTCCACTGTGTCGAATTATTTTGATTGACAGCACAAGCACGCTACTACAAATATAACACGGACTTCCTGTGAACTGTGTGAACTTGATGATGGAAAATAAAAGCCAATGATTACTGTCAAATGGATTTGTTAATATAAAAAAAAGATTACCTTTATTGCTTGGAATATTTAGGAAAAATAATTAGAATATTTATTTGATACAACATACATCTGAGAATCGAGGGGTTATCTCTCTCTCTCTCTCGCTCTCTCTCTCTCTCTCTCTCGAACATTTCTCTGTTCAATAAAAACTATTATAACACATTACTTATTAAGTTTTGAAAATTTAATCTACACATGTATTACAAATAATTTGAATGCCTCTTTCCAACATCTTGACCGAGTATAATCACGGCCGGAAAATGTCTACAGATACATGAAGAAGTTAGCCAAAATAAACGTCATAAAAGAATAAAAAGGCAATTAAATATAGAATATTGTGCAGTAGAATTTAAATAGAACGAGGATTTTTATGCAGTACGATAACAGTCAATGTCAACAGATACATTTTGTAATTGTGAATAAAAAAAAATCTGTTATTTTACTCAGAATCGCTTTGGCACGGAAATACATGTACGGTTGTTTCAACCCCGTACAATGTAATTAAATCATTCTATAAGTTGCAGTTTTATCTTCAGAAGTCCACATTATTTTATTAGTGAAAAGAATAAGCATAATTATTTACTATATAAGTAGATTAATTTTTTTTTAGGTACACTTGGTAACAAATACACGTTTGACGGTGATTAAAATCATGTCATTAAAATATCGATTTATACATATAGGTATGTGCAGAAAACAATGCTTTTATTTATTTATTAGTTAATTAATTAATTAATTTATCTATTGTTTATCTCAGTAGTAGTTTTATCTTCTAAAGTCCACATTATTTTATTAGTTAAAAGAATTAGCATAATTATTTACTACATGTATATAGATCAATTTATTTTTTAACTACACGCAGAAACAAATACACGTTTGACGGCGATTAAATCATGTTATTAAATTATAGATTTAAACATACGTATGTGTAGATTTTTTTTATTATTTATTTATTTATTTATTCATCTATTTATTTCTCTTTTGTTTATCTATTGTGTATTTATATTTATTTTTGACATTTGAATAATAGAATAAAAGAATAATTTCAATACAAGGAAAAGACCGAAGGCATTCCGAATAATTCGTTCATCTTGCGTTCACCGTTCGTTCACCGTTCACATTGCGCTCGCGTTCGCGCTCCGTTCGCGTTCTGCGTTCACTCACCGTTCACCGTTCACACATCGTTCACCAAGTTGCGTTCACCGTTCGCACATCGTTCACACACCGTTCGCTCTGCGTTCGTTCAGCGTTCGTTCACCGTTCAGGTGGGAAAGTAGAACGTTTTAGGGACTGTAGCTATGATAAGCAAGGGCCCTTCTTCCAGAATTGTGAATTTCAAGGCCTTTTGGTCAGGGGTACCATAGAGGGAGGAATCTACGTATATACTAAAAATGAATTAATTGATTAAAATCTGCTTCTTGGTATTAATCAAACAGTTTTGATAAGCAAGGGTGTCTTTTCCAAAATTGTGCAATATGTTGACCTAGGGTTATGGGTTCATGTGTGGTAGGGGCACTACTGATTATTGCTGAATATTACCAGTGTTTGAAATAACTGTGCGCCCGACCGCCCGACACGCACAAATTTTGTCAGGGGCGAACAGATTAGCACATATTGACACCCGGCTGGACGAGTAAATATTTTTTATAAATTTAAATTCATATATTTAATAAAACTCTCTCGAATCAACTAAGATTACTGGTGCAAAGTGTAACAAACACGTGGGTAGAATTCATCAGCTTACAAGTCGGGGATCAAATATATAGTGAGATAGCTCCATTCACATTATTGCTAAAAGGAACTTGTAAAAGACATTATTTTTTCGGGCTCGTACAACTTTGGCAGAGCTGACAACTTTCACTAGCAGTTAGCCCTGTATGTCTGGCTAAATTTGCAGTGAATTTCAAACACTGATATTACTGATTAGTTGAAATGTACCTTTTGTTCCTCTACCCTGCCTATGGGTATTAAATAACCAAACTAAGCAATTACTAAGTGTATAGTTATGATAAGCAATGGTGCCTCTTTCAAAATTGTGAATGCCATGGCATCTAGTTTAAAACATGAACCAAATTTAATCATTGGAAAGTTGTTGCAAGATGCTCAGGTGACCTATGTTACAACGCCAAATGTAATAACGCAGAATGTAATAAACAGTCTTCGAAATAACCTGGGTGCCCCATGCCCGGGACCTGGTAAATTTGCCAGCGGGCATGTGAAAATTCTCAAATTACATGCCCAAAGGGCATGTGTAAATTTTCTTCAATTCTTCAATTCACGATGTTTACTTGCAATTTCTTCTGTAATACCCCAGTTATTTACTTGCTATTTCTTCTGTCATACCCCAGTTATTCGTGTAAACTTGCTATGCAATGTCTTAATCTGAATTTCCAGTCTACATTTGTCTTGCGTTACATTATTGGTATGACCTGTCAAATGATTATCAATCATAATCATTAAAGTTTTTAATTTAACCTATTAGAGTTTTCTTGATGTTTCTTGCCAAATTACGATATGTTTATTGATACCACATGCAGTGGACTGCTGTCATGATGGTCATGATCCTACTTATGAAATTCAATTCACCTATAATGGCCAACAAACAGCCATCATGTGAGTCAAAAGTTGTGAACAAAAACGCATACGAAAATGGCAGACAGGCAGGCCATGGTTGATTTAAAACTCTGGAAAGAATTTAAAAACAGAAAACTAAAGATTGAGAGAATTTAAAGCCATATATGGCGTAACTGATCAAAATAATATATTTTTGAAAAATACAAAATTAAGTGATAAATATAGTTAATACATTCAAATCAAAGCTTTTCATATAATTCTGAACACGGAGAACACCTCGTCTCAACTAAAAATACAATTTTATCTTCTCGGTAATGTGTTATTTAAATCTTTTGTATTTTCTTCCGATACGGAGAAAATTCCGAGAATCAAATTTAAATTGTGATATCTTGATAACGCAATTGACTTAGATTTTGTAATTTACGGAAAAGTTCTATCTTTTTATAAAGTAATGATACAAATAATAAGTTCCTATAATTTTAGTCTAATAATTTTCATTTCACATACGCCATATATGGCTTTAAAAACAGAAAAACTGTCCTTATAGCTAATATAAAAACCTTATTTTTTTGTTGCACAATTATATCTCTGCTATATGAATGAAATTTGAGTAGGGCATGTACAAATTTCAAAGGGCTGGGTAAAAATGACTTGTATACATGCCCAAAGGGCATGTGCTGAAAAAGAATTGTTGTGAAGACTGATAAACTGGGATTAAATATTATATTTTGCATTATTACATTTTGCATTGATCTCAATGCAAAATGTAATAAAGCAAAATGTAATAGAATGATTTTTGCATTTGCGTTATTACATTTTGCGTCAAGATCAACGAAAAAATGTAATTACATAATATTTTGTTGTTACATTTTGCAGTAATTATACCCCTGCTCCGTTGGAGAGGGAGGTATACAATTTTACCCTCGTGTGTCTGTCTGTGTGTTCGTGTGTCTGTTCGTAACAAATTATGGTGACCGTCACAGTTTTCTTAGCAACTATTCATCGCACATGCTTGAAATTTTAACACAATTTTCTCTGAGGCATACCATAAAGTGGGATTCAATTTAGTTTAAATCGGATGTCAAATTCCTGTTTATCCAAGCGTCTGTCCATTTCATACATAACATAACATGATAGGATATATTTTTCTTTAAATCCATTGTTAACTTCCTGTTTATCTGTGCATCTGTCCGTTTCATACATGACGAATTTTCGTCGCAGTTTTCTCAGCAACTACTCATCGCAGATGCTTGAAATTTTAACACAATCTTCTCTGACGCATGACATATGATGGGAATCATTTTTGTTTAAAACCTGATGTAAGTTTACTTGCAAACTTCGTTCGTGCGTCGTTCGTCCTGCATCATGTGTTATCATTTGAACATTTTCAGCTTCTTCTCTGCAACCGCTCAACCAATTTCCACCAAATTTTACGCAAAGCATCAATTGGTGAAAGGGAACAAAAATTGAGAATTTCATGGTCCCTGCCGTCTGGGGCCTGAGGGGTTGGGCCAAAACCACTAAAATTAGTCCAAATTTTAAAAATCTTCTTCTTTACTCCTGGACATAAAGCATTCAAACTGTTAGCATGAATGTAATGACCATTGAGTCCTCTACCAAAATTTTGAAATTCTTGGCCCCAGGGTCAGGGGTTGTAGTGTTAGGACGGGGCTCTATTGATTATATAGAAAAAATGCAGAATTTGATTGAAAATCTTCTTCTCTGCTGCTGGGAATTCAATGAATAAACTAAGTATATAGTTATGATGAGCAAGAATGCTTCTTCCAAAATTTTGAATTTATGGCCCCAGGGTCAGGGGTTCTGGTGTTAGGGTGGGGCTCAATTGATTTTATGATGAAAGAACATTAATTCTTTGAAAATCTTCTTCTCAGCTCCTGAGTATTAAATAAACTAACTAAGTCTATAGTTATGATGAGCAAGAATGCCTCTTCCAAATTGTGAATTTTTTTTAATGGCCCCAGGGTCAGGGGTTCTGGTCTTAGGGTGGGGCTATATTGATTATATAGTGAAAATACATTATTTCTTTAAAAATCTTCTTCTCTGTTCCTGGGTATTTTATAAACTCACTAAGTACATAGTCATGATGAGGAAGAATGCCTTTGTGAATTTTATGGTCCCAGGGTCAGGGGCTCTGTTGTTAGGGCGGGGCTTTATTGGTTATATAGAGAAAATGCAGAAATTGTTCGAAAATCTTCTTCTCTGCTCCTGGGTTTTAAGCAGATGAACTACCTATGTAGCTATGATGAGCAAGGGCCATTCTTCCTGAATTGTGAATTTCAACGCCCACCGTAGAGGGGGGCTCTACTTATATACTGAAAATGAATTCATCGTATTTTTTTGTATTAATCAAGTATTTTTTGATAAGCAAGGGTGTTTTTTCCAAAATTGTGAAATGTGTGGACCAAGGGTCAGGGGTTCATGTATGGGAGTGCCACTTAACTGATTATTGCTGAATATTACTATTTAGTCGAAATGCATTTTTTTGTTCCTCTACTCTCTCTGGGTATCAAGTAATCAAACTAAACATGCTAAGTGTATAGTTATGATTAGCAAATGTGCCTCTTTCAAAATTATGAATGCCATCTAGTATAAAACTTGAACCATAGTCAATCGTTGTAAAGTTGTTGCATGATGCTCAGGTGACCTATAAGGCCCATGGGCCTCTTGTTAGCTTACCTGAGCCGAAGGCTCAAGTGAGCTTTTCTGATCACATTTTGTCTGTCCGTCTGTCTGTCCGTCTGTAAATTTTCACATTTTCGACTTCTTCTCAAGAACCGCTGGGCCAATTTCAACCAAACTTGCCACAAAGCATCCTTGGGAGAAGGAGATTAGAATTTGTTTAAATGAAGGACTAGACCCTCTTTCAAGGGGAGGTAATTGGGAATTAGTGAAAAAATAATGGCATCATTTAAAAATCTTCTTCTCAAGAACCACTGGACCAGGAAAGATGAATTTTATTTGGAAAACATCCTCAGCTAGTGAAGATTCAAGTTTATTCAAATCATGACCCCGGGGGGTAGGATGGGGCCAAAATGGACGATCAAAGTTTTACATAGGAATATATAGGGAAAATCTTTAAAAATCTTCTTCTAAAGAACTACTGGACCAGGAAAGCTGAAACTTATGTGAAAGCATCCTGGGATAGTGTAGATTCTAAATTGTTCAAATCATGGCCCCAGGGTTAGGGTGGGGCCACAATAGGGAATCAAAGTTTTACATAGAATTATACAGGAAAACTCTTTAAAAATCTTCTTATCAATAACCGCTGGGCCACAAAAGCTGAAACTCATAAAGAAGCTTTGTGTAGATTCTTATTTGTTCAAATTATGACCTCCGTAGATGTGTGGGGGCACTATCAGTACATGTATTACAATGGGGAAAATCAGATGAAGAACAGCAGGATCAAAATTACTCAGGTGAGCATTGTGGTCCATGGACCTCTTGTTGGCAATTCCAGGAACATTATCTATGGTCTAGTTTATTGGATACATCAGGAACATTAAAAACAACTATTGGAAATATGGGTTAATTTATGCATAATGGGCTTTGCCATTTATGCTAACAATTCATGTTTCCAACAGTCATTAATGCCGTGGCATATGTATGCAATAAACTAGACACTGGCTCCTAAAGTCTTCAAATAAAGGAGAGCACTGTAGCTAATTAGACTTTTGTTTTATTCTTAAGGTTTAAAGTGGAAGTTGGAAAGAAATTTGGAGGAAGGCTGTCACAAATAAAGATATGGAACAGCAGTTTAACAGATGATGACATGTTCAAGCTTCCTAGTAACAGGAATTATAAACCTGCAGGTGCTACCCTCATTCAGGGCTGGTATAACTATAAGATGAGCAAGGGAGCTGTGAAGAAGGTCACATCACAGATTGATAATGATACGGTTTGCGATGTTCCTGCTTGTTCACAGTTAGGTATGTTATGGCTTTTGACCTATTGTTGAATCTGCAATAACATTTTTTTTATTTTACATAAAGTGCAGATTATTTCTTTCAACAAGTAAAGTAGATATATATGAATACAACGGGTAGGATTGATGTATATGACTCTCTTAAATTAAAGAAATAGTAAAATACTTTGGTTACAAAGAGTAATCATATCAATGGGATTATGATTTAGAGTGGGAATATGGTCCTAGATGTTGAGAAGCGACCTAAAAAAGGGGTGTTGAATTTTGTTCCATGTATTGAGCGCATCCTTAATTTTGAACAATTTACTGATGAAAAAAATTCAGCCAATACACATGACTTTACAGTTTAGTGTAACCCCTTTAATATGTCATTCTGTCTTTCAATCACTTTATCATAGTTTGTAGACATTTTGTTTTTTATGCTTGTTATGCATGAAGATAATGACCTGGTTTTTGGTTCTGACTGATTGATAACCTGCAGATCTATCAAGTTAGTAATCATAGATGACGAGGTATATATGTTTCACTTTGACTATGATTTTAGAGTAGATGGTCAACACTGGTTACATTAAAAGATAAGTATATTTAGCGCAAATCTTGCTTGAAAGTATACACTTCGACCGAAATTGTGATGCGTTGAGTGACGACACTGATGAATCTGACTGAAATACATTTGAAAAATCCTACAAAGAATCTGATTGGTGCTTTTTTTATAGGCCCGCCCACTTTCTCAAATATAAAGCCGAAAATATGGAATGTTTCAAAGAAATATAGAAGAACTGTAGAAAATGAACAAAAAAGTGGTACTTATATAAGTATTTAGGAGACCTATGCACTATACCTTATTAAATTATTGTGAGTGTGGGTAATCTGTATAATGATCTTCAAATAAGATATGTTCCAGAACTGGTAGTAGTTTACTTCATACATGTCATGTTTGTATAAGGTGCATGTTCCCGGGGCACGTACATATTAACACGACCATTTCTCTGGTTTTTTATTCAGTACATCAATAAAATGAAAAATACTTAGATTTGGTAAATATTATAATATTATTCATTTTTAATATGAATTATAAGTGATATTTATTATCTTTAGCTCTACTGGTCAGAGACCAGAAGAACTTATGTGATAGTAAGGTGTTCGTCGTTCTTCCATCTGTCTGTCTGTCTATAAACAATTTTTCAAATGCTACTACTCCTACAGTTTTAGTCTGATTTCAATATAACTTGGCACACAAGTAGACTACACTAAGATACATAAGTTGTAGCTTTAGATGGGTCAGAAAAAAGTTTGAAAAGTGCACGTACTAGATCTTTTTCAGTTTGCCAAAATTTAAGGTTTAAAGCCTAATCTTTCTAAGACTAAAGCCATATGGATTGGTTCAAAATTAATTGTAATGACAATTTATGCAAAGAATATGATTTAGAATGGACATCTAAGAACTTTACAATATTGGGAATGACATTTAATGCCAGTTTTGACAATATTGAAGAGATAAATGTTATTAACAGAATTAATGATATAAACAAAGAAATGGGCCACTGGAAAAAGAGACATATATCACCTCTGGGTAAAATTACAATTATAAAATCTCTTCTTTCAAAAATTACACATGTATTGTTAACTTTGCCAAAACCATGTGATGAAACCATGAAAAACCTTGAGAAATCTTTTTTAAGTTTGTATGGAACAATAAAAATAATAAAATAGCTCGAAATATAATGATTTTAGATTTTGATGATGATGGCTTTAGAATGCCACATTTGCCAACATTTATTAAGGCACTTAAGCTCACTTGAATCAGAGGTTAATATATACAGATTCTACCTGTCCAGAATATTTATGGAATCTACAGGCTGTAATATTACAAAACTCTTACAGTTTGGATCAGAATATGCTTTATATTTTAATAAAACAACAAATAATATGTTTTGGAAGTTCTTTCTGACTATAAAGAATTTATTAATTTTTTGAACCTGAAAATATTCTTCAGGTTATGAATGAACTCTGTGGTTTAACAGTAGTCTCAGAATACAAAGTAAATCTGTTTTTTACAAACATTTATATGCAAAAGTTTTCATTTTGTGTCTGATCTATTGGATACTGAAGGTAATTTGTTATTTCTAAATTATATATCCATTAATTATGATGTTTCAATCCCATTTACTAATTATGAAGGGCTTAGACTTTCCATTTTGAAAAAATGGCCAGAAGTTAAACAATGTAGAACTTCAGTTATTGGAATATATTCATACTTATATTCAGGTTCTTTGTTGTGATGTGTCTGGCTATAAATCATTATACAATTTCTTTCTAACAAAGTGTTATATACAATCTGTATGTGTTACAAAATGGACAAGAGATTTAGGTTTGGGGAATGACTTTAACTGGAAAGATCTTTTTACAAACTTAAAATACATAACAAAAGATTCAAATTTCAAATGGTTTAATTATAAAATCATACATAGAATTCTTGGAACTTGATAATTATTGTTTTTATCTAAAATTAAAGATAATCCACTGTGCTCTGTCTCTAATCTTGAGCAGCATCTTTTAGCTGACCTGAACCAAAGGCTCAAGTGAGCTTTTCTGATCACATTTTGTCCAATATCTGCCTGTCTGTCAGTCCGTCTGTAAACTTTTTACATTTTCATCTTCTAAAGAACCACTGGAACAATTTCAACCAAACGTGCCACAAAGTATCCTTGGGTGAAGGGGATTTAAGTTTGTTCAAATGAAGGGCCACACCCTCTTCCAAGGGGAGTTAATTAATAATTAGTGAAAAATTAATGACATCTTTTAAAAATCTTCTTCTCAAGAACCACTGGCCCAAGAAAGATGAAACTCAAGTGGAAGCAGTCCTCAGGTAGTGTAGATCACGTTTGTTCAAATCATGACCTCCACAATGTAAATTTAAAGTTTTACATAGGAATATATAGGAAAAATCTTTAAAAATCTTCTTCTCCAGAACCACCGGGCCAGGAAAGATTAAACTTATGTTGTAGCATCCTCAGGTAGTGTAGATTCAAATTTGTTCAAATCATGACCCCCAGGGGTAGGGCGGGGCCACGACGGAAAATCTAAGTTTTACATAGGAATATATAGAAAAAATCTTTTAAAAATCTTCTACTTAAAGTCCACTAGGCCAGGAAAGATAAAACTTAAGTGAATGCATGAACATGTAGTGTAGATTCAAATTTGTTCAAATCATGACCCCCAGGGGTAGGGCGGGGCCACGACGGAAAATCCAAGTTTTACATAGAAATATATAGAAAAAATCTTTAAAAATCTTCTACTTAAAGTCCACTTGGCCAGGAAAGATAAAACTTTAGTGAAAGCATGACCAGGTAGTGTAAACTCAAATTTGTTCAAATCATGACCCCCTGGGGTAGGGCGGGGCCACAGAAAATCAAAGTTTTTCATAGGAATATTTAGGAAAAATCTTTAAAAATCTTCTTTTGGAGAACAGCAAAGCCATGGTTGGTTATATTTAAATGGAAGCATCCTCAGGTAGTTTAAAATCAAGTTTGTTCAAAACATGACGAGATGGGGGGGGGGGGGCAGCACAATTAACAATCAAATTTTTTTATAGGACTCTGTTGGAAAAATCTTCTTCTATAGAACGGAAAGCCTTCTGTTAAGTTATATTGATAGGGAGGCAACATTAGGTTGTGAAGCTTCACACTGGTTTAAATCATGATACCAGGGGTAGTGAGGGGCCACAATTGGGATGGAATTTTTACAAAGGAATATATAGGAAAAAATGTTTTCAAGAACAGTAAAGCCATTGTTATTGATATGGAAGTATTCTCAGGTAGTTTAAAATTCAAGCCCTACTTTTCAATACTTAACTGATTTATGCCTTTTTCTAGCCAATATACTCAGGTGAACAATGTGGCCCATGGGCCTCTTGTTTATTACTGTCTTCCTGTTAATGAAATATGGGATTGTTTAGAAGAATGAATTTTACAAAAAACTGGAAAAAATATTAATTTAGACCCAATTTCTGTTATATAAAATAATTCTGGAAAAGAAAACACAGCCTGTCATTATCTTGCTTGAAAAACAGTATGTATACCAAAAATCTAGAAATTGTAAACCTTTGATATTCCACGAAGTTGAAAATATAGCATGTAAATACTATACTTTTGAAATATACCTGTTTGCATTAAATATGGAAGGCACCAAGTTCAAAACGAGATGTCTATTTTTAGGCAATCTATTTGAAAAAAAATCAGTTTTACTGTATAGGGGATTAATTTCACGGGTTGTAATTTTCACGTTTTTTCTCTCATCTGAAACGATCGCGGTTTCTTGAATTCACGGAATAGCTACATGTAAACGACATTCTTCCACGTTGTTTTTATTTCACGAACAACAGGGTAGGTTTATATAAAATTGATAGATTTAATAGTTAATTAAAACAAGTGCAGTTATTAAAAGTCCTACACGCTAAACGTCAAATGACTTTCCTATATGCTATTACGATGGGTGCATGTGCACCCAAGATCTTCAATACAACGCGGCGAAAAACCACTGGACGGAAGTAAATGTGTTTATTCAGTTCGCCGAAATAATATCTTCCACATCTTCAGTAAGTTCGATATTTATTTGAATGATTTTTTTAAACCAAAATGTTGATAAAAACTAATATGCATGATAATGCAGGTAACAAATACACGTGGTAAAATTGGTTACGCACGGGTAATCAAAACCGATGGCCCATGTGTTTTGATTGATGAAACATGTAGCGTTGGCTATTAAAACAGCTTTTGAACAAACACGAGTTATTATCTGCCGATTTCAATTAAAGTAAAGCGTGATAATTAAAATAATTGAATGACGAGTACTACTCGTAATTACTGAAACGTCCCTGTACTGCATGTACATGTATATCAACCTGTCGTAGTCAGCCTATCGTAGTCTATTCTCAAATTTCCAACAACACAAAAACATGTAGATTATTGAAAATTTATTCACTGTTTCTTAAATTCACGGATTTATTAACACCGTGAATATAGCGAATATTAACACCGCGAGTGTTTTCCCCCTATACAGTATATAACATTCATAAAGAGACATTGTAATTTTTACTTTTGTTTTTTTTTCTTATAGTGATAGTAAACTTAATGTAATATGTATACATGCATATTTATATGTATATGGAATAAACACTTTTTAGCTCACCTGAGCCTAAGGCTCAACTGAGCTTTTCTGATCAAAATTTGTCCGTTGTCTGTCGTCGTTGTAGTCGTTATTGTCGTCGTCGTAAACTTTTCACATTTTCATCTTCTCCTCAAGAACCACTGGGCCAATTTCAACCAAACTTGCCACAAACTATTCTTAGGTGAAGGGCATTCAAGTTTGTTCAAATGAAGGCCATGCCCTCTTCCAAGGGGAGATAATTATGAATTAATGAAAAATTAATGGCATCTTTTGAAAATCTTCTCAAAAACCACTGGGCTAGAAAAGATGAAACTCATGTGAAAGCATCCTCAGGTAGTGTAGATTCAAATTTGTATAAATCATGGCTCCCGGGGGTAGGGTGGGGCCACAATGGCCGATCAAAGTTTTACATAGGAGTACGTAGGGAAAATATTTAAAAATCCTCTTTTCAAGTACTTCAAAGCCATGGTTAGTGATATTTATATGAAATCATTCTCAGGTAGTGTAGATTCTAGTTTGTTCAAATTATAACCCCCAGGGATAGGGTGGGGTCACAATGGGGGAACCAAGTTTTACACTAAAATATATATTTTAAAAAATCTTTTCTCAAGAATAGCAAAGTCATGATTAGTGAAACAAGTATTTATTAAATACTTGTTTCACTAATCATGACTTTGCTATTCTTGAGAAAAGATTTTTTAAAATATATATTTTAGTGTAAAACTTGGTTGAAGCGGTAGTGTAGAATTAACGAGTTTGTTCAAATCCTGATTTAAATTTATTCAAATCATGGCCCTTTGGGGTAGGGAGGGAAACAATGGGGAATCAAAGTCAAATTTCTATGAAGTTATATATAGGGAGGAAATGTTTGAAAAAAAAAATTATAAAGAACAGCAAAGTTATATGCTGTATTAATATGAAGGCATTCTCAAGTATTCAAGTATTTCAAGCCCCCCCCCCCCCCCCTTCAGTAAAGTTTTCAGTTCTGATCAGATTTGTGCATTTTCATAGCTGATTTGCTCAGGTGAGCGGTGTGGCCCCTGGGCCTCTTGTTTTGTATGCCCTAAAACCTTGAAAATAAGACGGATTTGATAATTAGCCAGTTTTAAAAATAAGCCACATATTTCTTGCATTGAAAATTAATCGAAAATAAGCCTGTTTTGAAAATAAATTTTCATAAAGTTTCTATAAATTCACGATGTACGTTTAGCAGTCTTCATTGCTAAAAGCTCACCATTTCTAAAATTGGTGCACAAAATTACGATATTTGAACACTATTCATTCAATGCTTAAGCCCCCACTTTCTTACCAAAACTTAAAATAAGTCGCTGCTCATTTTCAGGGTTTTAGGTTATTACATATAAAGGTGATACTGAAATGCAATGAGTGAAGTGAAAGAATCAGTGAGTGAATTAAGGAATAACTGTCTTATTTTTCGATTTCATGATGTGATCAATTGATTGGCTTGCGTGATAATTTGCATAAACACTGAGGGCGTTTATGCATAAAATTATCAAGCAAGCCAATAGATTGATCATCGTCGTGAAATCGAAAAATCTGATAGTTATAGTACAGGGGGAAAATAACTCGCACTGTTAATATTCGCTATATTCATGTTGTTAATAAATCCGTGAATTCAAGAAACAGTGAATAATTTTTCAATAATTTCCATGTTTTATTTTGAAATTTGAGAATAGACTACGATAGGTTTATATTCATGAACGTGCAGTACATGGTCATTTCAGTAATTACGAGTAGTATCATATATTAATCATTTTAATTATAACGCTTTGAAATTCATTTGATTCAAATTAATCGGAAAATAATAACCTTTATTTGTTAAAAAGCTGTTTTAATGGCCTACGCTACATGTTTCTTCAATTAAAACACGTGGGTTTGATTTCCTGTGCGTAACTAATGTTACCACGTGTATTTGTTACCTGCATTATCGTACATATTTGTTTTTATCGACATTTTGGTTTTAAAATATCATTCAAATAACTATCAAACTTAATAAGATGTGGAAGGATATTTTTTCGTCGTCCTTCATTTACACATTTATTACCGTCCAGTGGTTTTTCTCCGCGTTGTATTGAAGATCTTGGGGTGTACATGCACTCATCGTAATAGCATATAGGAAAGTAATTTGACATTATTAGTCAAGGACTTTTGATAACTCCACTTGTTTTAATTGATTGTCAATTATTTATTAAATCTAACAATTTTATATTAATCTACTCTGTTGTTCCTGAGATAAAGACATAACGCTGATTAAACGGATATAGACAAGGGAGGTAACTTTTATTATATACAAATTCAGTGAATTTAAGAAACCGCGATCGTATCAGATCACCGAAAAACGTGAAAATTACAGCCCGTGAAATTAATCCCCTATACAGTATTCCTTACATTTACATGCTCTTCATTCTGCCAATCCACGTGCTACAAGCCCCGCTTCTTGTCTCTATTTGTCCCATCCTGCATGTGATTTTTTTTAACCGCGCCTATCGATGAACCAGTGCATTGATGAGGAAATAATTTTTTTTTTCATTAATTTAAAACATTTATGAGCAAAACTTCTGTTCTTTAATCATGAAATGTATATTTTTGATAAACATTTTATTTGATTTTTTTTCTCAGCATTTTTTAACAGTGTCCAATTCTAAGGCCACTTAATATGTCTATTTAAAAGTATGATGCAATATGGCGTGCAATATTTTGTTTATTCATTCCGTGAATGAAATTCAATAGTTACTTGATAGTCTATTAATTGAAGTTTAATTGATGCTTAATCATATGTACGCAACTTAGACCGGCCATTTACGTAGTCTGGCAAAATGATTACCCATTTACAAGAGTTAAGCAATAGAAATTAAACCCTACGTGGCCATTTTCATTTCACACCTCTGACTCCTGGTAGGTATTTTTCACACCTTCGGCCGGTCATTATTACCCCTCTGGCCAATGACAGTTATATTTCTTGCAATCGAAAAGTGGCCGGTATGATGAGGGGAAATTACCTATGTTTGTTAACTTTTGTTCACGGAAAAGTGGCCGGTGTCCGGTTTTCAGGGGTGGCCGGTTTTATGAGAGTTTATGTGTAAAGAAATGTTAAGAATTTTGCTGGGACTTATAAATTTGGCCGATGTTTAGGGGGGACCGGTTTCCAGGGGGGCCGGTTTTGAGAAGTATCACAGTGACTGTACATTGATTATTTGTAATCTTATCTCGGACAAAGACATTGGAAAAGTAAATATTGTTTAATAAAATTCCGCAATGTTGATATACATGAACTGTTATTTAAAAGTTGAAATGTAGAAATAATTTAGTGCATCGGTTTTTGATTTTGACGAACGGTGTTGCCATGGTTACTAAAAATAGAAGAAAAAAATTTCCACTGAATAACCAGTGCTCCACTATCAGCTGGGCAATCACATGATTTCCAGTACTACCCACATTTTCAATTCAAACAATATTTGTGTACCGTCTGCAAAAGGAATATATCACATGCTAAAAAATGATTTTATATTTTGTTTTTGTGTTTTGGTTCAACAAGTCAAAAATGCTTTTCGACAATCAAACATGGCCGTTGGACGCTTTGCAACTTATACTGTCAAAAGATACCGCACAAGACTGGGCGGGTCCTAATCAACCAATTTAAATGCTTGTTTAATAAAATGAAACCCATGATTCAAATTGTTCAATTGTTAAATCCAACGTACAGTGTCATCACTCAACACAACGCTATTTCGGTGGGAGTGTATACTTTAAAGCAAGATTTGCGATAATTGTAAGACTTTTGCCATCCACGTCAAAAATTAATTGTATCCCAAACAGAGTTTCTTCTCTTCTTGACGCCATCTTTGTTTATCAGTCTAAAAGTAGCGACAGTGTCACATAATACATTAAAATAAACAGAGGCATTACTGTCCTGTTGCGAACACCTCTTATATCAATAAAATATTACTGATTTGGCACCTTCTCTGAAAAACCCATTGGAGTATTTTTCCCTTTAGGACAATTCTAGTTTTCTCTACGTTTGATATTGAGAACATTGTTGTTTTTCATTTCTATTATGTGTATTTACTGTTTCCTTCAGTTTTATTTTCCTTCTGTATTTTGCAGATAAAATAAAACCGAAAATAAAAGCCTGCACTGGAGACGATGTTAAAAACTCTACCAATAGAGTCTTTAACTATCAACTGCCAGCTATTTCCTCAATGTTTGATAATTTCAGTGAAAGCCTGTCTTTGATGTCACATAATAAAACAGGTTAGTTTCCCATTGAAGTTTTTTGGTACAACAAGTTCCAAAGGCAATTTAGCATCATTTATGTGCTTGTGTATGAGGTAAAAAATTCTGAATATTTTTTATACATCTAAAAGGTTCAACAGAAATTAATGTTTTTAATTCATATAAAGGTAACCTTCATTATCTCAACATAGACAGGACTTTTGGAACATGTAGAGATATATGAGGGGTCGGCATATCAGAGTTGAGACTCAATGTCCAAGAAAACAGCAAGCTTATTAGCTCATCTGAGCCTTCATCTGAGCCGAGGGCTCAAGTGAGCTTTTCTGATGAAAATTTGTCCGTTGTCTGTTGTCGTTTTTGTCATAAACTTTTCACATTTTTATCTTCTTTTCAAGAACCACTGAGCCAATTTCAACCAAACTTGCCACAAAGTATCCTTGGGTAAAGGAGATTTAAATTTGTACAAATGAAGGGCCACACCCTCTTCCAAGGGAAGATAATTATGTAATTATGATAATTAGTGAAAAAGTAATGGCATGTTTTAAAAATCTTCTCCTCAAGAACCACCGGGCCAGGAAAGATGAAACTCATGTGGAAGCATTCTCAGTTAGTGTAGATTCAAATTTGATCAAAACATGACCCCCGGGGATAGGGTATGGCCACAATGGGGATCAAAGTTTTTTGTGAAATTTAATTGTTTTTAAAGAGGAACTTTTCTTTAAGATTCACTTTTTCATGTTTCAGACTCTTTCACTTGGGGTGACTACAGCCTACTGTTTATGGCCGCTGATGAAAATGAAAATACAGCCATGTGCCTTAGCAAGCTTTATGTTAAATGTAAGTTATACTTTGTTTTCATTTTAGATTAACAACCTCTACAAATTTTAAAAAGTGTAGCTTAAAAAAATGTAAGCAAAATTATTGCTATCACAATAATCTTATATGTTACACAATTCAGTAAATCTAGTTTAGTCCAAACACAGATATAGCAAAATTTACAGATATATCCTTCTTTAACTCACCTGAGCTGAAGGTTCAAGTGAGCTTTTCTGATCAAAATTTGTCCGTTGTCTGTCGTTGTATTGTTGTTGTCATTGTCGTGGTAAACTTGTCACATTTTCATCTTCTTCTCAAGAACCACTTAACCAATTTCAACCAAACTTGCTACACATTATCCTTGGGTGAAGAAGATTCAAGTTTGTTCAAATGCAGGGCAACACCACTTCCAAGGGGAGATAATTATGAATTAGTGAAAAATTAATGGCATTTTTTAAAAACAGACAGACAGACAGGACAAAAACAATATATGCCTCGGATCTTTCGATCCGGGCGCATAAAAACATGTACTTACATATTCTTCTACAGTAACTGCTTCTTCTCAAGATTTACTGGGCCAGAAAAGATGAAACTCAGGTAAATCATCCTTAGGTAGTGTAAATTCAGATTTGTTCAAATCATGACTCCCAGGGGTAGGATGGAGCCACAATGGGGGATCAAAGTTTAACATAGGAATATATACTAGGTAAATTATTTAAAAATCTTCTTCTCAAGAACCACAGGGCTAGGAAAGATGAAACTCATGTGAAGCATCCTTGGTTAGTGTAGATTCAAGTTTGTTCAAATCCTGACCCCTAGGGGTAGGGTTGGGCCACAGTAGGATATCAAATTATAACATAGGAGTACAGAGGAAAAATCTTTTAAAGTCTTCTCCTTAAGAACAGCAAAGCCATTATTGTTCATATTTATATGGAAACATCCTAAGGTAGTGTAAATTCAAGTTTGTTTAAATCATGACCCCTGGGTGGAGGGTGGGGCCATCATGGGGGATCATTAAATTTAACATAGGGATACATTGGAAAAATCTCTAAAAAAATCTTCTTTTCAAGAACAGCATAGCCATGATTGGTCATAGTTATAATAAAGCATCCTCTTGTAGTGTAGATTTAAGTTTGTTCAATCAAGACCCCTTGGGCAAGGGTGGGGCCATAATGGGTGATCAAAGTTTTTACGAATGATTACATAGGAAAAAATCTTTTAAATTTTTCTTCTTGAGAACAGCAAAGAAGTGATTGTTCATATTTGTATCGAAGCATCTTCATGTAGTATGGATTTGTTCAAATCATAACCCCTGGGGGTAGAGTGGGGCCACAATGGGTGATCAAGGTTTTACATTGGAATACGTTGGAAAAATCATTGAAATTCTTTACAAGTCAAACAAAGCCACGATTAATCATCAATATAAAAGAATCAAAAAAGGTAAAGTAGAACCATGAGATAGAGGAGCCATTAAAATGGAACATCGCTATACAAAGGATTATAAAGGCTATATCAATAAAAAAATTTCATCTTATAAACAGCAAAGCCATTATGTATCATATAAATTTAAAAGCAGCAGTAGGAACTATAGATTTAAGTTTGTTCAAATACCCCCCCCCCACCTTCCCCTGAACCCACTTTTATATTTAAACATTTCAATCTGAACTGATTTTTGCTTTTACCTAGCCAATTGCTCAGGTGAGCAATGTGGCCCCTGGGTCTCTTGTTTTAAACTGTAACAAATTTTTGAAGATCTTAATTTTAATAGATTTATCAATTTTTTTTGGAGGGGGTGTTAATTCATCCAAAAAGTTTTTAACTTGAAAGTAAATAAAACGATAAGACTGTTCTTGTGTAGATTGTATTTTGAAAACACAGGCCTTTGGATCGCTTAAAAAAGATTGTGTGTTAAAAAAAGATAAAGGTATTGAACTCTTACACTGGGTACTCAATTTCACTAATAGAATATTTTTTAATCAAATGCTCAAAAATTTTACTTTCTATTTAAATCTCTTCAAAGATAAACAATCTTCATTTCTACCAAAGCTCATTCCAAACTTCCATATACTTCTTGAGATATTCTGAAATCAATTTTAAAAATGACCTACTTTTTTTTACTCAAAATTAGTTTGGGCCCTCAGTCATTCAGATGTAAAGAGATGGTGTTTGAGGTGCAGCGAAGAGTTGCATAGCATTTGCAAAATCTTTCAACATTTTAAAATTGATTTCTTACTCCAGATTGTAATAATTCCTTTTACGAAAAATTAATTAGAAAAGTCTACATCAACAACTGCACCGCCATGTTGATTATGAGTGTAAAAGAAGCTATGGTTGAACGAATTTTTCCCGGAATGTATAATATACCTTTCAATTAAAAAAAAAAAAAAGACCGCTAAAATGTCTAACTTGTTGGAGACTTAGTAAGATCATATGATCAAATTAGAGAAAAGCTTGTAAAGCTCGATGGCAAAGGAGCAAATATTCATGGAGTATAGATTAAATTCTGGGGAAAATTTGTCCCGTCATTCCCGCTTAACAATTAGTGTAGATCTTTAAAGGCCCAAGCTGATGTCGAGTAAAAAGATTAATGTCAATTTTGAAATTGATTTCAGAATATCTTGAGAAATGTAAGGAATTACAGCATCAACTTTGGTAGTAATGAAGATTGTTAATAAATGAATACATATGAATAGAAAGTAAAATTGTTAATCATTTGATTTAAAAGAATTATATTGGCGAAAGTAGGTACCCAATGAAAAGAGTTCCATACCTTTATTTTTTTTTAACACCTCAATTTTTTCTAAACGATTTTAAGGCCTGTTTTTGAAAATAAGCAAGTTACCAACAAGTATTTCGAAGTTACAATCATTGACATTAATGAAGTTACACAATAATTTGACACTAAATGTTAAATGTCAACTGTGTGTAGCTCATAACATTCAAGATGTTTGCATGCATTTTTAGCTCTTCTGAGCCAAAGGCTCAAAGAGCTAATGCTATGGTCATTTGTGCGTCGTGCAGTGTTCATAAACTTTTTATAATGTGGGCCATAACTCAAGAACCCCTTGGCCAATCATTGTCAAATTTGTCACGGGGTATCCTTGGCCCAAGGGCTACCATTTATTCTTAAACTAGGGGGTGGGACCCTAAAACAAGGGGAGATAATCAGGAAAATAAAACCAAAAGTACTGGTTGCTTAAAAATCTTCTTCTCCAGAACCACCAGACTGATTTTAACCAAACTTACATAAAAGGGTCAGGATATGTTGAAGATTAAAAATTAAGTATATTAGGTACTTACTGGCTTAGAATCATCAACCTTTGTCACTGGATGCTTCTTGGGTCTTCAAAAAATGTCAACCAAAAAGTAGGTCATGGTGACCTACTTTTGACATTTTTGGCTATATTTAGGTATCTTAGGTACTTATTGGCTTAGAATCATCAAACTTTGTCAGTTGATGCAACTTGGGTTTTCAGAGAATGTCAACCAAAAAGTAGGTCACTGTGACCTACTTTTGACGTTTTTTGGCTAAATTTAAGTATCTTAGATACTTATTGGCTTAGAATCATCAAACTTTGTCAGTTGATGCAACGTGGGTTTTCGGAGATTGTCGACCAAAAAGTAGGTCACTTTGACCTAGTTCTGATTTTTATGGCTATATTTAACTATCTTAGGTACTTATTGGCCTAAAATTGTTCAATTTTGTCAGTTGAGGCATCTTGGGTTTTTGGAGAATGTCGACCAAAAAGTAGGTCACAATGACCTACTTTTAATTATCTCAGGTCTTATTGGATTAGAATCATTAAACTTTGTCAGTTGATGCATCTTGGGTTTTTAGAGAATGTTGTCTGAAAAGTAGGTCACAATCACCTACTTGTGACATTTAATGGCTATATTTAAATATAAGGGGTACTTAATGGCTTAGAATCGTCAAACTTTGTCAGTTGATGCATCTTGGGTTTTCGAAGAATGTTGAACATAAAGTAGGTCACAGTGACCTAATTTTGAATATCTCAGGTACTTATTGGCTTAGAATCAATCTTTGTCAATTAATGCATCTTGAGCCCTTAGAAAATTTCAAATCAAAAGGTAGGTTACCGTGACCTACTTATGGTATTTTGTAGCTATACTGAAATATCTTCAGTCCTAACTGGCTAAGATTCATCAAACTTTGTCAGTTCATGCATCTTGGGATACTTAGAGGCTTCAAATAGAAATGATAGATTGTACAATTTATCAGAAGAGCGATTCAAGTCCCATGGGCCTCTTGTATTTAAAATTAGCAGATGCAAATACAGTGAAACTTGTGTACTCAGGATGTTATGTAATAAGCCAGAATCTTGTTTATTACAGATTATGCACATGAAAACAGGAAAGGTCAAGGTTTATGTCCCTTGCAGTCAAGTGAATTAATTTAAATGTTGTTATGCCCACCTTCGAAGAAGGGATGGCATATTGCTTTGCTGCTATCTGTCGGTCCACCAAGGTTCTGTTCATTTTCTTCACAACCGTTGCACATACTGAAATGAAATTTACTATACAGATTTATCATAGTGATGCCCCTTGGACTTAAAAAAAATTCTATTTATTTGCAGTTTCTGTTCATTTTCTTTGCAGAGGTTGCACATACTGAAATGAAATTTGGTATAGAGATTTATCATAAGAATATCTAGTTTAAGTTTTGTTTTGTGTACGATCGAGCAATTTGGTACAGAGTTATGCCCTTTGGACTTAGAAAATTTCCTATTATTTGGGGGAGGAAGGCATAAGTGTTTTAAAACATTTCTTGTTTCATCCAGAATTTGTTTAATCCAGCCTTTTCTTTCTTTCTTTTTTTTTTTTTGGGGGGGGGGGGGGGGTGTCCAGTGGTGTCTGATTAAACAAATCTTACTGTATAATTGTTAAGTATGAACACAGATATAACAAATTGAAACTTGTTTTCATTTTTAGCTCACCTGAGCTGAAAGCTGAAGTGAGCTTTTCTGATCACAATTTATAAGTAGTCTGTCTGTAAACTTTTTACATTTTTGACTTCTTCTCCAAAACCACTTGGGCAATTTTAACCAAACTTGCCACAAAGCATCCTTGGGTGAAGGGGATTCAAATTTATTCAAATGAAGGGCAGCACCCCAATTCAAGGGGAGATAAAATGAGAATGAGTGAAAATTTGGTGGCATGTTTTTTAAATCTTCTTAAATTCTCAAGAACCACTGTGCCAGGAAATATGAAACATTTGGGGTAGCATTCTTAGGTAGTGTAGATTCAAGTTTACTTAAATCATGACCCCCGGGGGTAGGGCGGGGCCACAAGGTACCATCAAATTTTTACATAGAAATATATAGGAAAAATCTTAAAAATCTTCTTTCCAAGAACAGTAAAGCTGTGATTGGTCATACTTATATGGAAGCATCCTCAGGTAGTGTAGATTCAAGTTTGTTCAAAATCATGACCCCCAGGAGTAGGGCGGAACCACGAATGACAATCAAAGTTTTACATAGAAATATATAGGAAAAATCTTAAAAATCTTCGTCTCAAGAACAGCAAAGCCATGATAGGTCATACTTATATGGAAGCATCCCCAGGAAGTGTAGATTCAAATTTGTTCAAATAATGACCCCCGGGGCTAGGGTGGGGCCATGGGGGACAACAAAGTTTTACATATAGGAAAAATCTTTAAAAATCTACTCAAGAATAGCAAAGCCACGAGGGACGATCAAAGTTTTACATTGTAATATACACGGACCCAGCAAAGTCATGATTAATCATATTTACATGGAAGCATCCTCAGGTAATGGGGGGGCACAGACTTAAAGGGTAAAAAAGCCATAGTCAAAGAAATATGTAGGCATCTTTGTTAGTGTAGATTCAAGTATTCAAGGTTGTTCAAATCATAGTTCCCTCCCTTTGTCACAGTGATCAGGTGAGCGATGTGGCCCTTGGGCCTCTTGTTAAAGAGGGTATAATTTCACAATTGGTCCTGAGGTAAATCCCTTACTGGTGATATAGATTTATGGATATCAACTTACTGTTGACCATGTGTCTCCTGTGATTTGATTCTTATCAGTAATGTATCAATTATCAAATGTAAATTTGGATACTGCTAAGAAAGTTTATCAATTTTACCCCCACTTAGAAGGAGAGGGGAATATACTGTTTTATCCTTGTGTGTCTGTCTGTCTGTGTGTATGTCCGTAACAAATGTATATTCACATCGTATTACTAGTGAGCATTAGCTCACAGATCTCTTGTTTATGACAATCTTATTCCATAAAGTATGTTTTTTGTGCTTTTCAGATAATGCTGAATGTCCTGAACCAAGAACACGCCCATCCTCACTAAATATTCTTTACTGTTCAGGCAGCAGAGATATTTGTAATCTGGGGTGTTCTGATAACCAAGAACTATCTATCCCTGCTCCAAAATTTAAAATGTGTTCTAAGCTGGGTGTGTATACTCCTCTCAAACCACACAAGAAGTACGTGTTGCCATCTTGTGGAAGTAAGTACATGTATATTAAAAATTTTCCACATTATGTTTTTCAGTCCAGTTTTAAACATTCATGATGTATAGTTCAGAATTATTTGAATTCTACTACATGTGAACTTCTCCTACTAATTTGTTGAAAGATGGGCCTCTGGGTTCATATAGATTTACCTGTAATTGTATTTTTTCAAGTCTAAATTAATACTTACTATCCAATGATTACCCCATGATTATTTACCCAACTGCAGCTCTTTTGAGCCAATAAGGGAAAGCTAAAGGAAGCTCTAATCTTGAGGATTTCTGGAACATAACATTGTTTACATTTCGTGATAGAGTCAAAGCATTTTGATGATCAAGACTACATTATAGTGACAATTATTGATTGATTGATTGTTATTGTTTAACGCCGGATCGGCAATATTTCAGCCATATTTCGGCAGTGAAATTGTTTGAAAAGATAATTAGAGTTTTTCTGGCAATTACTGTAAATGTATCATATTTAGTGTGAGCAGTTTTTAGCAGAAACTGATTTTTGAAAAATAAGCGTATATTTGATTTAGCACATTTCTTAATATTCTTATTCATGTTTATAAGTGCAAGACATAAATTTAGTGTTGTACCTGAATTAGCGGAAGTTTCTTTCTGCACTAAAAAGAATACCGAGCCAAATGTAATACATTTACAGTATTCCAATGATTTGAACCATTAGAATGCCTAAAGAACATTGTATTGTTATATATTGCATTTCAGATAGTAGGTCAACAAATTCTCTGAGAATTTTATTGACTTCTTAAAAATGTTGAAATAATGATCATTAGAAAGAATTAAATCAGGTTTCCAAAAAAGGCTACTGCTTTGTTTACATTTTTAGCTCTACTGGTCAAAGACCAGAAGAGCATATGCAATAGAATGTGTCCGATGTCTGTCCGTCTAGCTGTCTGTCTGTCCGTCTTTAAACAATTTTTAGCTCACCTGTGCTGAAAGCTCAAGTGAGCTTTTCTGATCACATTTTGTCCGGCGTTCGTCTGTTTGTCCGTCTGTCCATCTGTCTGTCTGTAAACTCTTCACATTTTCGACTTCTTCTCAAGAATCGCTGGGCCAATTTCAACCAAACTTGCCACAAAGTATCCTTGGGTGAAGGGGATTCAAGTTTATTCAAATGATGGGCCACGCCCTCATCCAAGGGGAGATAATTGGGAATAAATGAAAATTTGGTGGCATATTTTAAAAATCTTCTCAAGAACCACTGTGCCAGGAAAAATGAAAGTTATGGAGAAACATCCTCAGGTAGTGTAGATTCAAATTTGTTCAAATCATGACCCCCGGGGGTAGGGCGGGGCCAAAATGGCCGACCAAAGTTTTACATAGAAATATATCGGAAAATTCTTTAAAAATATTCTTTTCAAGAATGATAAAGCCATAATTCATCATATTTATATGGAAGCATGCTCAGGTAGTGTAGATTCAAATTTTTCAAATCATGACCCCCGGGGGTAGGGCGGGGCCAAAATGGCCGACCAAAGTTTCACATTGAAATATATAGGAAAATTCTTTAAAAATCTTTTTCTCAAGAATGACAAAGCCATAGTTCATCATATTTACATGGAAGCATGCTCAGGTAGTGTAGAATCAAGTTTGTTCAAATCATGACTCCCGGGAGTAGGACGGGGCCAAAATGGCCGACCAAAGTTTTACATAGAAATATATAGGAAATTTCTTTAAAAATCTCCTTCTCAAGAATGACAAAGCCATAATTCATCATATTTATATGGAAGCATGCTCAGGTAGTGTAGATTCAAGTTTTTTCAAATCTTGACCCCCGGGGATAGGGCGGGGCCAAAATGGCCGACCAAAGTTTTACATAGAAATATATAGGAAATTTCTTTAAAAATCTTCTTCTCAAGAATGACAAAGCCATAATTCATCATATTTATGTGGGAGCATGCTCAGGTAGTGAAGATTCAAGTTTGTTCAAATCATGACTCCCGGGGTAGGGCGGGGCCAAAATGGCTGACCAAAGTTTTACATAGAAATATATAGGAAAATTCTTTAAAAATCTTCTTCTCAAGAATGACAAAGCCATAATTCATCATATATATATGGAAGCATGCTCAGGTAGTGTAGATTTAAGTTTGTTCAAATTATGACCCCCGGGGGTAGGATGGGGCCAAAATGGCCGACCAAAGTTTTACATAGAAATATATAGGAAATTTCTTTAAAAATCTTCTTCTCAAGAATGACAAAGCCATAATTCATCATATATATATATATATACTGTACTGCTAGGAGACAGATTCCGTAGGTCGAGAGTTCAACCCCGGGCTGGGGCGGAAGTGAGTATCCTTGTAAAAGTGAATTTCTCTGTGCTTTCTATATTAATATTCCTTCACTTAGGGCAGTTATATTAGTTTAAGAGTTGTTGTAATTTGTGCTGTATAAATAAAATTAATTTCATCACAACATGTATTGGTAACAATCCTCTAAAAACTAACGTCCAAATAACTGTATCTCACTTCCATTCTCAATGACCGTGTAGTGTAGGGCAGCGTTGTGATAATTCCATCGGCATCGAAAGCAAGTTTTTTAACTTGCCTAGATAGCCGAGCGGTCTAACGCGCTGTTCCTGTACTGCTAGGAGACAGATTCCGTAGGTCGAGAGTTCAACCCCGGGCTGGGGCGGAAGTGAGTATCCTTGTAAAAGTGAATTTCTCTGTGCTTTCTATATTAATATTCCTTCACTTAGGGCAGTTATATTAGTTTAAGAGTTGTTGTAATTTGTGCTGTATAAATAAAATTAATTTCATCACAACATGTATTGGTAACAATCCTCTAAAAACTAATGTCCAAATAACTGTATCTCACTTCCATTCTCAATGACCGTGTAGTGTAGGGCAGCGTTGTGAGAATTCCATCGGCATCGAAAGCAAGTTTTTTAACTTGCCTAGATAGCCGAGCGGTCTAACGCGCTGTTCCTGTACTGCTAGGAGACAGATTCCGTAGGTCGAGAGTTCAACCCCGGGCTGGGGCGGAAGTGAGTATCCTTGTAAAAGTGAATTTCTCTGTGCTTTCTATATATATATATATATATATATATATATATATATATATATATATATATGGAAGCATGCTCAGGTAGTGTGGATTTAAGTTTGTTCAAATCATGACCACCGGGAGTAGGGTGGGGCCAAAATGGCCGACCAAAGTTTTACATAGAAATATATAGGAAAATTCTTTAAAAATCTTCTTCTCAAGAATGACAAAGCCATAATTCATCATATATATATATGGAAGCATGCTCAGGTAGTGTGGATTCAAATTTGTTCAAATCATGACCCCCGGGGGTAAGATATATATAGGAAAATTTTTTAAAAATCATTTTCTAAAAAATAGCAAATCCATGATTGGTCATGGGATTACTTTTGGATCTAAACTTTACAATAAAAAACCATATTCTACTTTTTCCTACCCTTAGTGCTCAGGTGAGCGATGTGGCCCATGGGCCTCGTGTTCAAAATGCTACTCCTCCTACAGTTTTGGTCTGATTTCAATATAACTTATTTGTCATAGAATAGAATCCGACATTTAACGCTTAATATCTTTGAATATACAGACATTTTCAACAAAACCTTCATGTTTGTCTCAGGAAATACTAGTATTTTTATGATTTACACAAATAATATATTTTCTTGATTTTAAACTTAGCATCATTTTGGATAACTCTAGGGCATGAGTAAAAATTAAAGAAATGATAATAAACTATTCAAAAGACTCGATATGATTCTTTTAAAAAAATGAAATCATGTGGTAGCAGAAGAAAATAGACCACGAATGTTTTATTTTGTGTACACGACCACTTATAGCTAAGAGATTTCACACGCTATGTTTCCTCTGCAACATTTGATTGAAAGAGGGGTTGTAAACAGTGTATGTAAAATATTTGCAGTTAAAGACTGAATTAATTGATGCCATTTTTTTTTATAAACTTAATGTTGCATTCGTTAAACGGAGAAAAGATAAACGCCGATGTTTGTTTTCACTAGTTTACATGCAGTACAATGTATCAGACTCTCTGAATGTATATAGGTCAATGCGCGATCAATGAACGGGTTACATAACTGTAAACAAATGCAGTCAGGGTCCGGGGAGAATTTATGATGAATGAATTAAATGACTGTGAATTATTTTAAGTTTGAAATTTTTTTTTAAATAAATAATGCTACATTGAATATTAAACGAAGGAAAGATGAACAGTGTATTTCCTCTTTTCCGTCTTGTTTTTTAAACTAAATATAAGGAGAAAGTTGTCTCTGAATAATTTGTTAGGCATCCAGCTAGAGAATACGATAAAAACCTTATTTCAGCAAAGTTTAACATTCAATCCAGTTAAATATATTATTTTTATCCAGTTTATTTTAGTTATACGTGTTATAAATAAATAAATAAATAATTATTCTTCATTTGCCGAATAAAATCACTTACCTGTATATGGACTATAAAGTTTTCCACTCATTTAAAAACACAAGATGCGAACAAAATAACCTTTTCATTAGATCAATAATATGTTAAAGAACAACTTTCACTATGACAGCTTTTTCGAAATATTTACCGTTTTTGAGTTATAAAGCCTAATTTGAGGGGCCAGTCCCTTTTTAATGATGTCAAATGAAAGATCTTCAAATTGTGCACAACATTTATTCAACATGTCTTAACAAATTATTTTTAGTTTAAAAGATACAAAGGGAAATATGTGTAATTTTTTGCGCTTTTAAGCATTCTCATTTTTTACCCCTATCTAGCGCCATTTTCAACGCAGAAATCAAAAAAGAAAAACCGATTTGCACAATTTCATTGCTTCTACACATGTATTATATAAATTCAGTAGAATTTCTGCACCAGCTTTTGTCGTTTCTGAGCCTTTGTCTGAAAACAAAGAGTACCAAATTTTCATTTAAAGGGAAGTAACTCCAAAGTGGAAGAGAATTTTTGAAATGTATGAAAACATGTAAATTGAGTTTTGAAAACGTCTAAAAATTCTGAAAATTTAAGCTGAATTCGTTAAGAATGGAGCGAGTTATGAGGTCTCAAAGTTGGCGTCTATGGAAAAAGAAAAAAATAATAGGGAATAATCTTAACCATCAGAATCAGTAGAAGGTCTTTCGTCTGAGCTGAAGACCTTAATAATGAACATGGAGTATTTAAAATCTTGTTCTCAAGAACCACTGGGCCAGAATAGATGAAACTTCTGTGAATTAAGTCTTTCTGACATAATGTAGATTCAAATTTATTCAAATTCTGACCCCTGGGGGTAGGGTAAGTCAAGAATTTACATAGAAGTATGTAGAAGAAAACTTTTAAAACTCTTCTCAAGAACAGCAAAGCCATGATTGGTTACTTTTCAATTTAAGCATCTTCAGTTAGTGTAGATTTAAGTTTCTTCAAATGATGACTCTAGGGCTGGGACGGGGCCACAATGGCAATCAAATGTTTATGCAGGTTTACATATGAAAAATCTTTAAAAATCTATTCAAGAACTGCAAAGCCAAGATTTGACATATTTATTTGTAAGCATCCTCTGGTAATAACATTCAAAATTGTTAGAATCATAACCTCTAGGGGTAAGAAGGGTCATAATTGGTGATCAAAGTTTTACATGAGAATACATAGGATAAATTGTTAAAAACTTCTTCCCAAGAATAGGAAATCCATGATTAGTTATGTTAATTCAGAAGCATCCTCAGGAAAGGCATTTTCAACTTTGTACTGATCATGTCCGCTGTGGGTAAGATGGAGCCACAATAGAAGATCAAACATATGGATAAAAAAATACATGATTAGTCAAATAAATATGAAAGCATTGTGAGTTGGTATAGATTCAAGGGAATGAATTAACCCCCCTTTCCCTGGAGTTAAGGGGTATATTTGATAACATATATTTAATCTTTTCAATATTAGACTGATTTCTGCTTTTTTCTTGCCAATGTGCCCAGGTGAGTGGTGTGGCCCATGGGCCTCGTGTTGTGAATTTGAAATGCCCCGTACATGTATATGTTTCATCTTACTTGATGATTTAATTTGCAGACAAAACTGAGACACAAATTCAGATAGAAGTTTCCTTAAGATTTTCCTTAGCGGCACCATGTGGGGATATTTTAGAAAGATCAATGAAAACAAATCTAATGAGTCATTTTCAAGACAAAGTCTATCAGGACTGGAATAATGTTTGCACAACATCTGACTGCCTAAATGTGGATATTGTCCCAAAGTGTGCTGGTAACACAGAGATGATAACTACTATGAAAATAAGTAATTTAAGGTAAAATAATCTTAGAATTCAAACAAAAAATTTAGCTTACCTGAGCTGAAGTTCAAGTGAGCTTTTTTGATCACATTTTGTCTATCTGTCTGTCTAGCTGTCCATCCATCTGAAAACATTTTTGACTTCTTCGCAAGAATCAATGGTCCAATTTCAACCAAACTGGCCACAATTTATCCTTAGGTAAAAGGGATTCAAGTTTGTTCAAATGAATGGCCACACCTTCTTCCAAAATAATTCCATAATTAAAAATAAGTGAAAAATTAATGACAACTGTAAAAATCTTCTTTTAAAGAACCACTGGGCCAGGAAAGATGAAACTTACGTTGAAACATTCTCAGGTAGCGCAGATTCAAGTTTGATCAAATCATGACCCCCGGGGATAGGGCGGGACCAAAGTGGACAATCAAAGTTTTACATAGAAATATATAGGAAAAATGTTTTAAAATCAGCAAAGCCATGATTAGTCATATTTATACTGAAACATCCTCAGGTAGTGTAGATTCAAGTTTGCTTAAATCATGACCCCTGGGGTTGGGCAGGGCCACAATGGATGATCAAAGTTTTACATAGAAATATATAGGAAAATCTTTTTAAAATCTTCTTCATAAGAACAGCAAAGCCATGATTGGTCATACTTTAATAAAAGCATCCTCATGAAGTGTAGATTTATTATTGTTCAAATCATGACCCCCAGGGGTAGGGCTGGGCCACAACAGACAATCAAAGTTTTACATAGAAATATAAGGAAAAATCTTTAAAATTCTTCCTCACAAAAACAGCAGTCGTATTTTAATAAAAGCATCCTCAGGTAGTGTAGATTCATCATTGTTTAAATCATGACTCCCTGGGTAGGGTCGGGGCCACAATAGACGCTCGAAGTTTTACATAGAAATGTAAGGAAAAATCTTCAAAGATCTTCTTCTCAAGAACAGCGAAGCTATGATTAGACATATTTAAAGGAAGTTTAGATTCAAATTTGTTCATATCCTGACCTCCGGGGTAGGGTGGGTCCACAATGGACAATAAAAGTTTTACATAGAAATATATAGGGAAAGACTTTAAAAATCTTCTTCTTAAGAACAGCAAAGCCATGATTGGTCATATTTGTATTGAAGCATCCTCAGGTAGTGTAGATTAAAGATTCATGTAGGGTAAGACCAGTATTTGGCCACCAATTTTGGGTGTCTTTTAGAATGATCCAACAGTTTATCCACAAAAACCTGTTGTCACCCCTGCCACAAAATGAGTACCGTATAATCCCTATTAACCGCCCCTGCCCCTATAAGCGCCTCCTTCGGTCTTTTTCAACTGCCAAGAAATAAGGGCCCCCAGTGCAGTGATCAAAATCAACTAGAATCGTATCAAAAAATTTAAGAAAGTGAAAATGAAACTTGTCTATTACCCAATTTCTCAATGGAAAATTAATAATTTAGCATAATTTGGGTGGAATATCTTCACTTAATGTAAAGTTAGGCATTATTTTAGTGGTTCCTTTTATTTTTATTTTTTTTTCAAAAGATTTTTTGAAGTTAAAATATGACATTAATATTAAGAGTATACCCAAATAACGGCCCCCTTTTTGCAATTTTCTAAGCGCCCGGGGCAGTTAATAGGGATTATACAGTATTGGTTCTAAGATTTAGAATATACAGAGGTCACAGAGAGGTCAGAAAATAGGTCAATTTTCGAATTTTCTCATTTTTATACGAATTTTCATCGATTTTACAGCACATTTTCTTTCGGAAAACATAGAGCACAAGCTTGCCTATCTACCAAATTTATATTTTATACACTAGTATCAGGTGCAGTTTATGTGTAAAAATCTCAGATAGGCAAGCTTGTGCTCTATGTTTTCCGAAGAGAGAAGTATCTCAAATATGATGAAATTCCACCAGAATTGAGGACATTCTGGAAAATATCCTACTTCGGCACCATCTTGTGGCTTCCATGTAAGCTTTGAATCTAAATTAGTGCTTGTTTTCAAAAAAGGATCATTTTAAGTACAAACTTTCACAATTTTACCAGTGTTCTGATTTTTATGTCAAATAAGGGGCCAGATTCTGCCGTTACCCTATCTTGTCCTTTGTTCAAATCAAGACCCCCAGATGTAGGATGGAGCAACAATGGACAATCAAATTTAAAATAGGAATACATAAGAGAAATCTTTTAAAATCTTCTTCTTAAGAACAACAAAGCCATGATTGATCATATTTATACAGGAGCATTCTCAAATAGTGCAGATTTTATTTGTTTGAATAATGACCACCCCCCCCCCCCGGGGGTCGTAGGATGGGGCCAAAATGAAAGTTTAAACTTATAGGGAAAAAACCCACAGTTAGTCAAAAAAATATGTAAGCATTCTTAGTGTAGATTCAAGTTAATTCAAATTATACCCCCTCCCTTTTAGTGATAGGCTGGGACCATGTTAGCATCAAAGCTTTTCAATACAGGATTGATTTTGCATTTTTCCTAGCCACAGTGCTCATTTGAGGGATGTGGCCAATGGGCCTCTTGTTCATTTTAATTGTTTGCAAAGGATCCAAATGTCAAATTCCAAAAGTTAATTCTTAAAATTGTCAATTGTCAATGATATTTTTAGCTCACCTGAGCTTAAAGCTCAAGTAAGCTTTTCTGATCACCCATTTTCTGTGGTCCATCCCTCTGCCCGTCTATCCGTAAACTTGTCAAATTTCAACTTCTTCCCAAGAAGCACTAGGCCAATTTTAACCAAAATTGGAATAAACCATCCTTGGATAAAGGGGAGTTTAAATTATTAAAATAAAGGGCAAAACCCCCATACAAGGGGAAATAATCAAGAAAAGACAAAATATGGTGGGGTCATTAAAAAAAATTTTTCCCAAGAACCATTGGGCCAGAAAAGCTGAAACTTATGTTGAAGCATCCTGGGGTAATGAAAGTTCTAAATTATTCAAATCATGACCCCAGTGGGTAGGGCGGAGTCACAATAGGGAATCAAATTTTTTTACATTGAAATATATAGAGAAAATATCTTAAAACTCTTCTTCCCACGTACCATTGGACCAGAAAAGCTGCAACTTATGTGGAAGCATCCTGGGGTAATGTAGATTCTGAATTGTTCAAATCATGACCCCTTGGGTAGGATGGGGCCACAATAGGAAATCATAGTTTTACAATGAAATATATATGAAAAATTTTCTAATTCAGAAGCACTGGGCCATTTTTAACCAAAATTGGTACAAAACATCCTTGGTTGAAGGGAAGTTTAAATTGTTAAAATGAAGGGTAAACCCCATCCAAAGAGAGATAATCAAGAAAAGATAAAAATATGGTGGGGTCATTAAAAACTCTTCTTCCCAATAACCATTGGGCCAGATATGCTGAAACTTAGGTGGAGGCATCCTGGGGGTAGTGAAGATTCTAAACTGTAAATATCATGACCTCCAGAGGTAGAGCGGAGCCACAAGAGGGAATCAAAGTTTTAGATTGAAATATGCAGAGAAAAACCTTTAAGGTAAGTCACTCATGAAATTTGTTAAATCAAGGTTTTTTTGAGAAGTATATTTTGGATAAGTACTCATAAAGTGTAACTCAAAATCGCAAAGAAAATAGGGGGTCAGTGTGCATCCTACTGAACTACGGTACATTTAAGTTGACCTTTTTGCACTTAAATTTTATCTCTTTGGTTAATTACTTTAACCCTTATTATATTTGATCAGATGTAAGCATGGCAATAAATATAATCTTATTTTACGTAAAATAGTTTGAATAATATTTATCATTAAACAAATCTTGCAAATTAATGCGCGTAAATTATTGTGTGACATTTTTGCACTAAAAAATTACATATTTGGTGTATTAAAAACTTTATAGGCAATAAAAAATTTTCTTATATCAATCTTTTTACGACTTAAGTGCTGATCAGTCACAAGTATCGAGTAGTTTAAAATAATGAAAGAAAAAGGTGGGGTCAGTGATGTTAATTTTGAAATATTTGTCAAAATATTGTGATGTTCAGGCAAAAAATGGTGTAAATTTGATCTTGACTTCTTTAATATATTTTCATTTTTTGGAAAAGTTTGTTGAGGGAAGGTGTAAAACTTAGTCTAAAAATATAAATTAAGACCTATATTAAATATTTTTAGCAATATCAAAACGGAAAATTTTCTCCGAGTAAAAGTATGTGAGGCTAAATTTCCATTACATTAAATTTTATAAATGTGCAGATTTGCAGAATCTGCTAAATATCCTTCCACCAAAAGAAGTAGTCCCTCGTAAATCTTGCTTCTTTGTAGATTTTTGAGCAGTTTTTTCATTGAATGTTAAAAAATTTACATTGTTGAATTTAAATATGTTATAAAAATTGAATTTTGATAAGTAGTTATGAAGTAAAAGCTTCTGCGTGAACTTTTCTGAAAAGCTGACGAGTGACTTACCTTAAAAAGCTTCTCAAGAACCACTGGGCCAGAAAAGCTGAAACTTATGTGGAAGCATCCTGGGGTAATGTAAATTCTAAATTGTTCAAATCATGGCCCCTGAGGTAGGGCAGGGCCACAATAAGGAATCTAATTAAACTACATTGAAATATATAAGAAAAATCTTCTGAAGAACCACTGGGCTAGAAAAGATGACACATATGTGGAAGCATCCTGGGGAAGAGAAGATTCTTAATTGTTCAAATCATGATGTAAGGGGTAGGGTGGGGCCACAATAGGGAATCTTAATTTTTACATCGAAATATATATGAATAATCTTCTCAAGAGCTACAATGTAAACATCTTTAAAAAAATGTTAAAATGTCAAACATTTAATAATTGTAACAGAAAGTTTATATCAATGCCTTAAAACTTATCCTTAAATATTTGGACACATGTTCCATAGTTCATTGTGCATCTGGTGCATTTAGGTTGTCAATGCTTTAACTCCGAGTTCAAGATCTTTTTTTATTTTTATCATCAATGGATTTAAAATAACTATCCCATCATTACCGGCTATAAATGTCTTGAAATGACATTCTTGCTTGTCAGCTTAGATAGAATAGATAGGATAGAACCTGGGAAGGGTGATAAACTAGATCTTTAATTTGGTTTTGATATTATTATCAGCAAGACGCTCTTAAAAGACTTTCTTTAACACAAGCTATATCAAACGTTTATATGGTTCATTAAAAATATGGTGTTCAGCAAACCCGATTTTATTTCAAACCATTAATAAATGACACAGTGGGCGGGTATTTTAAAAATAAAAGTGAGATTGATCTCTTTTATTTTTATTGGCTATTTTGAAAAAAATTGGATTCCCTTTAAACAGAAAATGAAAAAACTCATAATAGGTATTACATGGGGAGAATTCAGGTGAAGTACAGAAGGGCCAGAGTTACTCAGGTCAGTGCTTTGGCTCATAGGCCTCTTGTTCTTCTTTTAGGAATGGTATTACTAAAAAGCAAGGAAGTTCTGATGCATACACAGCAAAAGAGGTCTTCAGAGTATTAATTTTTGAGGAGACTGTATTTGAAGTAGATGTAAGTATAAACAAAAGTACCCTAAATCATATATGCTTGATGATCTTTTATGACACATACTACAGTTTGTATTTTTTTCTTTGAAATCAATGACTGAAAAATCATGTGTTTGTGAATAGTCTCTTAGTTTAATTTCTTTTTTGTAAAGCAGTTTCATGGTAGAGTCCAAATATCAGATCTAATTTGTCTTTTTTGTGTGGTCTTGCTTGCATAATTGTACTATAAAACAAATGGTTACAGCAAACACATGAAATCAATTCATGCTTGCAGCTAGGGGATTGATTTTTATTTTCTACAGTTTTCAAACAATTAGGGATGACTAATGGGTCAGAACAATGCTAATCAGTTAGGAAATCAGTAATCGGTTAGAAAAAATGAAATATATATAAATTTGAACACAGTGTTTACCTCACCTGAGCTGAAAGCTCAAGTGAGCTTTTCTGATCACATTTTGTTCGTCGTCCGTCTCTCTAGCTGTCTGTCCGTATGTAAACTTTTCACATTTTCGACTTCTCCAAAACCCTTGGGCCAATTTCAATCAAACTTGGCACAAAGTATTCTTAGTTAAAGGGGATTCAAGTTTGTTCAAATGAAGGGACACGTCCCAATTTAAGGAGAGATAATTGGGAATTAGCGAAAATTTGGTGGCATGTTTTAAAAATCTTCTCAAGAACCACTGTGGCTGGAAAGATGAAATTTATGGGGAAACATTCGTAGGTAGTGTAGATTCAAATTTGTTCAAATCATGACCCCCGGGGGTAGGGCAGGGCCACAAGGGACGATCAAAGTTGTACATAGAAATATATAGGAAAAATCTTTTAAAATCTTCTTTTCAAGAAAACAAAGTCATGATTGGTCATACTTATATGAAAGCATCATTGGGTATTGTAGATTCGAGTTTGTTCAAATCATGACCCCTGGAGGTAGGGCAGGGCCACAAGGGACGATCAAAGTTTTTTATAGAAATATATGGGAAAAATCTTTTAAAATCTTCTTCTCAAGAACAGCAAAGCCATGATTGGTCGTATTTATATGGAAGCATCCTCAGGTAGTGTAGATACAAGTTTGGTCAAATCATGACCCCTGGGGGTAGGGCAGGCCCACAAGGGACAATTAAAGTTTTTTATAGAAATATATAGGAAAAATCTTTTAAAATCTTCTCAAGAACAACGAAGCCATGATTGGTCATACTTATATGGAAGCATCCTTAGGTAGTGTAGATTCAAGTTTACAGGTAAAAATCATTTTTTTTTCACGGACACAGCAAAGCCATGATTAATCCCATTTACACTGAAGCATTCTCAGGTAGTGAAGATTATTTTTGTTCCAATCGTCATGGGGGGGGGGGGGGCACAGACTTCAAGACTTCAAGGGTAAAAAGAAAAAAAAGCCATGTTTAGTTTTAAAAAATATGCAGGCATCGATTCAAGTATTTAAATATTCAAGTTTCTTCAAAGCACATTCCCCTCCATTAGCCACAGTGCACATGTAAGCAATGTGGCCCATGGGTCTCTTGTTAGCTGTACTGGTCAGAGACCAAAAAAACTTATGCGATAGTAATGCGTTCGTCATCCGTCCATGTGTCTGTCTGTTTGTAAACAATTTTTCAAACAAGTTTTGGTCTGATTTCAATATAACTTGGCACACAAGTAGAAAACACAAAGATACATAAATTCTTTTTATCGGTTTTTGATTTCCATGAACGGTGTTGCTGTGGTTAATAAAAATAGAAATTTCTATGATATTCTTTCAAAATTCTAATCCTCCTACAGATTTCGACTGATTTCAATGTAACTTGGCACACAAGTAGACTACACTAAGATACATAATTCTGATTATTGGTTTTTGATTTCAATGAACGGATGCCTCGGTTATTAAAATTAGAAATTTCTGTGAAATACTCTCAAAATGCTACCCAAAGTACAGTTTTAGTCTGATTATGATATATTTTGGCATGCGAGAAGACTACACTGAGATACATTATTATAAGTTTTGTGTTTTTGATGAACGATGTTGCCATTGTAACTGAAATTGGAAATTCTGTAAAATTTTATTAAAAGCTACTCTTACAGTTGTTGCTTATTGCCATCTTGCCACAAAAAGAGACTTTATTAATGATCATTATGAGCTCACCTAAGCCGAAGGCTGAAGTGAGCTTTTCTGATCAAAATTTGTCCGTTGTCTGTCGTTGTTGTTGTCGTCGTCGTCGTTGTCATAAACTTTTCACATTTTCATCTTCTCAAGAACTACTGGGCAAATTTCAACCAAACTTGGCAAAGAGTATCCATGGGTGAAAAGGATTCAAAATTGTTCAAATGAAGGGCCCAGCCCTCTTTTAAGGGGAGATAATTATGAATTAATGAAAATTTAATGGCATCTTTTAAAAGTCTTCTTATCCAGAGAGATCGGGCCAGGAAAGATGAAACTCATGTGGAAGCATCCTCAGGTAGTGTAAATTCAAGTTTGTTCAAATCATGGAGCCACGATGGCTGATTATATGTTTACATAGGAATATTTAGGAAATTTTTTTTAAAATCTTCTTCTCCAGAACCACTGGACCAGTAAAGATGAAACTCATGTGGAAGCCTGACAGATAGTGTAGATTCAAATTTGTTCAAATCATGACCCCGGGGTTAAAGCGGGGCCACAAGGGCTGATCAAAGTTCAACATAGGATTACACAGGAAAAATCTTATAAAAATCTTCTCAAGATCAGCGAAGCTATGATTGGTGATACTGTAGACGTACTTTTTTCCACGGAATCTCAATTTACGTTAAATTTGCGGGTTGAAAATTACGCGGATTTCTCAGACTGTCACTATATGCCTTACATTTATATTAAGTACGCTTGGACAAATTTCCGTGGAAAATTGATGACCGCATACATACCGTAAATTAATACCACGTGGAAAAAAGTACTTATACAGTATTAATATGGAAACATCCTCAGTTAGGGTTAATTCAGGTTTGTTCATATCATGACCCCTGCATGGGGTAAGGTGGGGCCATGATGGGCAATCAAATCTTTACATAGAAATACATAGGAAAAATTTAAAACCCTTCTTCTTAAGTATGTCGAAATTACACATGTATGCTTTATTGATATAGTGACATTTTCAAGTAACAAAAAATTAAAATCCCCCTCCCACCAAGTCAACTTTTCAATACTGAGCTGATTTGTGTTTTTTAACTAGCCCGTATGCTCAGGTGAGCGATGTTGCCAATGGGCCTCTTGTTCTGTTTATTGCTTTTGTAAAGTTTTATGTCCCAACTGCTACTTGTCTCTTCCTATATTATAAGTACAAACCAGTAGAGCTACAGTCTCGCTAGAGACTTTAAAATTCATGTTTAGCTCACCTGAGCAGAAGACTGAAGTGAGATTTTCTGAACATTTTGTCAGTTGTCCATCCGTCTAGCCGTCCGTCCGTCTGTACATCCGTCTGTAAACTTTTCACGTTTTCTACTTCTCAAGAACCACTGGGCCAATTTTAACCAAACTTGGTACAAAGCATCCTTGGGTAAAGGGGAATTTAAATTATTAAAATAAAGGGCCAAGTGCCCTTCCAATGGGAGACAATCAAGAAAATACAAAATTAGGGTGGGGTCATTAAAAAATCTTTTTCTCAAGACCCACTGGGCCAGAAAAGCTGAATCATGACCCACGGGGGTAGGGTGGGGCCACAATAGGGAACCCAAGTTTTACATAGAAATGTATAGGAAAAAACTTTTAAAATCTTCTTCTCAAGAACCACTGCAGCAGAAAAGCTGAAACTTATGTGGAAGCATTCTTGGGTAGTGTAGATTCTAAATTGTTTGAATTTTGACCCCTGGTGGAAGGACATGGCCACAATAGGGAAACCAAGTATATAGGGAAAAAACTTTTAAAATGTTTTTTTCAAGAACAACTGAACTTAATACCTGAAACTTAATATGTGGAAACATCCTAGGGGTAGTGTAGATTCTAAATTGTTCGAATCATCACCCTGTAGGATTGCCAAAGACAAGATAGGTATTACAAAGGGGAAATCTGTTAAATGACAGAATGGCCAAAGTTACTCAGGTGAGCCATGTGGCCAATGGGCTTCTTGTTTTAACTGTTTTTTGGAGAGGGCTACAATTCCACAGCATCTGATAATGGTGCAAATATATTTTTATTAATACAGGTAACTGCTGGCTAAATAATTTTTTTTTACATTCAGCTTACTTCTAAAAAGGCGAAATTTTTATTCATTGTCAACAACATACAGTCAAAACTGCCATAGCGACGCACTGTATTAAGCGACTCACTGTCACTTGTGACCGTAAAATCCCCCTCCCAATGCTTTTCCCTATATATTCTACCTGTATTAAACGACCACCTGTCTAACACGACCAACGACCATGATTTTCCTGACCTTTTTAGCCGGGCTCATTGCTCGTAGAGCAATGCCAGGCTTTTACCACGTTGTTCAACAGGAAATGCTGCTTCATCACCGCTTAATCAAAAAATTCGCGTTAAAATATAGTACGTTTGTGCAATCAAATTCGAGGCAATACAAACACTGAAATAAATTTTCAAAGTTATCTGAAATTGTCAAAAAATAATTATAATAATATACTTTCTACCGTCTTCTTCGATTAGTTATTTGTTTAAATTATGTGAAAGTTTTCATCAGGTATCCCTGTCTGCGTTATATTCTATAAATAAAGGTTGTACTATCAGGCTAACACAAATGCAGGGAACATCATTAATGACTTGATGCAGAACTCCCCGCTGAGGACTCATCAGTGCATCGTCGTTTGACCTTAATTGATTAATCTTGCTGCATTGGTATTTATTTACTTCTGTTTGTATATAAAACCCCGAAACGATACATGTGATAAATATTTTACGCTGTTAAATTCTAGCTATATTTTACTTGATTTTTAAAACTTTAAAATACTATACATGCCATTGAGATATTTTTATGTGTAACATATCCTCTAAACATCTGAACTTGATTTTAAACTGTCACCACGGTCTTTGTTCATTACCCTGTAAATGAGCCTGGCTTTCAGTACTTCTGAGTACTTTGATTTGTATTTCCAAGCAATACCTGAATTTAACGACTACATAATTTTCTATGCCTACTTTCGATTTCGGCGAGCACATTACGTTTTTGGTTCTAAACAACTACAGACATGCTATTAATTTATTTATTAATTATGTAATGCAAGTTTTACGAATAAAACAACATTTAAAAATAAATATAAGCTTTGACATTTATTGAATAAACTCTAATTAAAATCTCAAACATAAACATCACGATTTTTTGTCCAGTGATCGAGCGCCATTTTGAAAATAGATGTTCGATATCGATCCCAATATATATGTTATTATTTCATGCTATTAGGGCCAAACGGATATTCAGCTATAAAACCTGCCTGTTTAACATTAATCAACAAGTAACTAAATCCTAGATGTTTATTTAAGTGCATTGTTTCACCAATGGGTATGAAAACACACACTATCTAGCACCCACACCAGGTGATAATTGATTGAAGTGATTGAAATACCTGGTCACAAACAGCAATATTAGACACGGTGGTTCAGTAATGAAAAAAAAATTAATTAGGTTAAAAAAATATTTTAGTCATAAATATAATTTAATTTGATACCAAGTGCATAACAAAAATTATGATACAGTTTTAATTTTTAGTAATATGCAAAACAATAAGTTATATATAGGCTATCATGTAAAAAAAACTATTATTAGAATAAAACTGCAGCTTTTTTATACTGTATGAAAAAAATATTATATAATAAATATTTTCAGATGATCACAATATTTCACAATAATCAAATAACTCATGTGCGGATCAAGCAAATTTTTAGCTCTTCTGAGCCAAAGATTCAAAGAGCTAATGCTGTGGCCATTCGTGCGGTGTGCGTAAAATTTTTAGAATATGGGCCATAACTCAGGAACGCATTGGCCAATAGATATCAAATTTGTCACAGGGTATCCTTGGCCTAAGGGCTACTATTTATACTAAAATAAGGGTTTGGACCCTTAAACAAGGGGAGATAATCAGGAAAACAAAACCGAAAGTACTGGTTGCTAAAAAATCTTCTCCATAACCACCGGGCAGATTTTCACCAAACTCACAAACAAGGATCAGGATATCTTGAAGATTAAAATTTGCACGGGAAATTACCCTAGGGCAATTGGCGTGGTCTCAAGGTCACTCCAAAGTTGACCTAAATTTACACTATATTTTGCTTACTATAAGGACTAGAATCATCAAATCTTGTAAGTTGATGCATCTTAGGACTTCACATCATGTTAACTCAAAAGCAGGTCACAGTGACCTACTTTTTAAATTTTGCGGGCATTTGTTTTCAAATTGATTTGGAGGCATACATGTATTTTGGACACTTAAAGGCCTATGATCATCAAACTTTGACAGTTGATGCATCTTGGGTCGTTAAACAACGTCAACTTAAGAGTAGGTCACCGTGACCTACTTTTTGAATTTTATGACTTATCATTTCTAAAACATTTAATCCCATTATTTCAGACATTGAGAGGTTTAGGGTTCAAATCTTGTAAGTTGATGCATCTTGGGACCTTAAAACAGATGAAATTAAAATTGTTCAACTTTGTCAATTGAGGCATCTTGTGTTTTTGAAGAATGTCGACCAAAAAGTAGGTCATCATGACCTACTTTTGAATATCTCAGGTACCTATTGGCTTAGAATCATCAAACTTCGTCAGTTGATGCATCCTGGGATTTCGGAGAATGTCGACAAAAAAGTAGGTCATGATGACCTACTTTTGAATATCTCAGGTATCCACTGGCTTAGAATCATCAAACTTTGTTTGTTGATGCATCTTGGGTTTTCGGAGATTGTCGACCAAAAATTAGGTCACAATGACCTACTTTTGACATTTTATGTCTATATTTAAGAATCTCAGGTATGTATTGGCTTAGAATCATCAGAACTTTGTCAGTTAATGCATCTTGGATTTTTGAAGATTGTCATCCAAAAAGTAGGCCACAGTGAACTACTTTTGAAATTTTACAGCTATAATCAATTCTTTTCAGGTCCTAATTGGTAGAATCCACAATCTTTGTCAATTGATGTATCTTAGATCCTTGAAGAATAACAAAGAAAAAGTAGGTCACAGTGACCTAATTTAAAAATTTTAAAAATATATTCAAATAATTCAGGTCCTGAATTGCTTAGAATTATCCATATTTGTCAATTAATGCATCTTTAGTCCTCAGAAAATTTCAAAAAGTAAGTCACCATGACTTACTTATGGTATTTTATAGATTTATTTAAAAATCTTCAGTTCTAACTGGCTAAGAAGCATCAAACTTTGTCAGTTAATGCATGATGTGAAATTTTTTTGGGATATTTTAAAATATTTCAGGTACTTTTAAGGTCATACACAACGTAGTTTGAAATTTATTGGATTCTTCCCTGGAGTTGAAGAATTCCACTAATTAAAGGATATGTGTTCAATACTTTTACCGTCTATATATGGATTTGTTCACCTCTTCTAAAACAATTTTTGATGAAAAAAAATCTGGAATTTATGTTTTGTTATTTTTGTACATTTTTCTTTGAATAATGCAAAAATTTTCACAATTTGATATCTTTTCAAAAGCCCTGGTAATGCCTGCTGATTTTTTGTCTAAGAACATGTAATTGTATTTTAAGTTTAAATTTAGAATATTTTGAAAAATTATCAATAGGTAAATTACCTTGCATATGTCCTTAAGCTAAGAAACTCTGTTCTGGAATTTCTAGGCATTGTTTAAGTATTTCAAATAATAAGCGGCATTGTTATTTGAGGCATTTTGGGGTCTCAGAGTTTACCAAAAAGTAGGTCACTCTAACCAACTTTTGAAATCTCAAGGCTATATCTTTATATTTAAGATAATTAGGGGCTTAGAATTATCACACTTTGTCAGTTGATTATCCTGGGCTGTCAGAGTGTTTTAACCAAAATGTAGGTCATGATGACCTACTTTTGCAATTACAAGGCTTTATTTGTGTGTACAGAATACTTAGAGGCTTCAAATAGAATTGATAGCTTGTACAATTTATCAGAAGAGTGATTCAATGCCCTTGGGCCTCTTGTATTATTCTACAATAAATCTACATTATATAAAAAATTTAGTGACTATTTTATACAAAATATTACCAGATTTAGTTACCAGCCAATTATCAGTTGATTAGAGTCAAACACTGCTGCCAATTCATTGATTCTGATTTGACAACATAAGTTGCAATACAAATGTACCTTGAACAGGGCTGTCATGTCTCTTTTGGACATATTTATAGTTTTTTGATTTTTATTTAACACAGAAAATTGGTGGTGCAAAGCTGCTGAATGACCAAGTAGTCATTACAGATATTGTATCATGTCCAGATGGTAACATGATTATACGGGATAATTGTGGTAAGTATAACAACTGAAGTTTTTTTCTACTTTTAATTAAACTAGATATTTCTAATAAAAAGAATTTCATTGTTTATTTGCTTTTAAGCTCATCTGATCTGATAGCTCAAGTGAGCTTTTCTATTCACCCATTGTCCATTGTCTTTCCCTCTGTAAATCTAAGTGTAAACTTTTCGCACTTTCAACTTCTCAAGAACCACTGCAACAATTTTAGCCAAAGTTGAAACAAAGCATTGGTTAGTTATTTCAGTCCTCCTGTGATTTCATAGGTTTTTGCAAAACCGGTTATTAATTTAAATTCATACTTAATAGAAAAATATCTTTTGGACTGATGCTTTTGAATAGGTGTAATGAAAAATATTGTTAAGTAAAACAATTTTAAAAATGTATATTTTCTTCATTAAATCAATCAATCAATCTTTAAAAATTTTTCTAAGGGCAATAACTCTTTCTCATGTATCTTTATTCAGGCAATTTCTTTATTATACTTCTAATATAAAATATATTATGATTTCCATGATATTTACAATTCAAATGGTAGATTATAAATTTTTAGTTCACGTGAGCCAAAGGCTCAAGTGAGTTTTTCTGATCAAAATTTTTCCGTTGTCTGTCATCGTTGTTGTTAGCGTCATTGTCGTTGTTGTCGTAAACTTTTCTTCTTCTCAAGATCCACTGGGCCAATTTCAACCAAACTTGTCATAAAGTATCCTTGGGTGAGGGGGGTTCAAGTTTTTTTTAAATGAAGGGCCATGCCCTCTATTAAGGGGAGATAATTATGAATTAGTGAAAAATTGATGCCATCTTTTAAAAAACCTTCTTCTCCAGAACCACTGGGCCAGGAAAGATGAAACTCATGTGGAAGCATACTCAGGTAGTGTAGATTCAAATTTGCTCAAGTCATGACCCCCAGGGATAGGGTGGGGCTACAATGGGGAATCAAACTTTTAACATAGAAATATGTAGGAAAAATATTTAAAAATCTTCTCAAGAACCACAGGGCTAGGAAAGATGAAACTCATGTGGAAGCATTCTTGGATAGTATAGATTCAAGTTTGGTCAAACCATGACCCCCACGGGTTGGATGGGGCCACAATGGGGTATCAAAGTTTAACATAGGAGTAAATAGTGTAACCAAGCAGCAAGACAGATGTTAAGTTTTCCTCATTTATTAAGGAAATAAATGCATTTATCTAAAATAAACAAAGTATATAATAAGTCAAAATTACAGAAATTATGAAAATAACATGTGAGATAATTTACCTACCGTAAACGTTTCAGAAAAAAAGAACTCTATGAAAAATGTGTACTGTAAACAATTCAAATTGAAATCTTACAGACTTATTATTTGTGTTACAACTTTGAATGCAAAAATACATTAAAGTAAAATGTTTGCAATCAAAATAATTACAAAAATCAAATCTTTATATGGTAAGAAAACACATAATTAAATATATAAGTTACATACCATAAGATGCGTATGATGGACGCTGGATTATAGATAAAACTTCTTACTTGAAAATGTAATACTGCTCTAATATACAAGGTAAAGCACGGTAAATTTATACTTATAATGAAATGTTTTATTGGATGAAAAATTAGGAAATAACCAATCAAATTTAAGAGCCAATGAAATCATAGAATAAAACTTTACTCAGAAAACTCAATCCAGATGCGCAATAGAACTTTTGATTAATCAGATTTTAAGATTATATTTCTCAAAACGGCATGAAAAAATAAATAAAAATGAATAGATACATATAGAAATAGATTTCATAATATCACGATAGGAAAAATCTTTAAAAATCTTCTGATGAAGAACAGCATTACCATGATTGGACATAGTTATATGGAAGCATCCTCTGGTAGTGTAGATTCAATTTTGTTCAAATCATGACCCCCGAGCATAGGGTTGAGACACAATGGGGGATCAAAGTTAAACATTGGAATACATAGAAAAAATCTTTTAAAAATCTTCTTCTCAAGAACAGCAAAGAAACGATTATTCACATTTATATGGAAGCATTATCAGGTAGTGTAAATTCAAGTTTGTTCAAATCATGAACCCAAGGGATAGGGATCAAAGTTTAACATAGGAATACATAGGTAAAATCTTTTAAAATTTTCTTATCAAGAACAGCATAGCCATGATTGTTTATAGGTATATTAAAGCATCCTCTTGTAGTGTAGATTCAAGTTTGTTCAAATCATAACCCCTGGGTCAAGGTTGGGGCCATAATGGGTGATCAAAGTTTTAAGAAGGATTACATAGAAAAAGTCTTTAAAATTCTCCTTCTTGAGAACAGCAAAGAAGTGATTGTTCATATTTATATGGAAGCATACTCGGGTAATGTAGATTCAAGTTTGCTCAAATTATTACCCCTGGGGTAGAGTGGGGCATGGCCACAATGGGTGATCAAGGTTTTATGTAGGAATACATAGGAAAAATCGTTTAAATCATTTACAAGAACAACAAAGCCACGATTGATCATCATTATAAAAGCATCAAAAAAGGTAATGTAGATCATGAGATAGAGGAGCCAATTTGGTGGATCATAGTTATACAAAGGAATATAAAGGCTATATCATTAAAAAAAAAATATCTGATAAACAGCAAAGCCATTATGTACCGTATTAATTTAAAAGCATCTGTAGGAAGTATAGATTTGAGTTTGTTCAAAATTTAAACTTCTCCCCCTCCCTTGAACCCACTTTTATATTTAAACTTTTCAATGCTAACTGATTTTTGCTTTTACCTAACCAGTTGCTCAAGTGAGCGATGTGACTCCTGGACCTCTTGTTCAAATCTTGATCCCCAGGGGTATGGCAGGGCCACAATAGGGAATCTAATTTTTACAGAGAAATATATAGGAAAAATCTACTTAAAAACCACTGGGCCAAAAAAGCTCAAACTTAAGTGGAAGCATTCTGGGGTAGTGAAGTTTCTAAATTGTTTAAATCATGACTCCCAGGGATAGGGCAGGGCCACAATAGGGAATCCAAGTTTTACATTGAAATGTGTATGAAAAATCTTTTCAAGAACCACTTGGCCAGAAAAGCTGAAGATTTAAATGAGGCATGCATGGGTAGTGTAGATTCTAAACTATTCAAATCATGACCCGTGAGGGTAGGGTTGGGCCACAAAAGGTATTACAAGTGGAGAAATCAGGTAAGAACAGCAGGGCCAAAGTTACTCTTGTGAGCATTGTGACCCATGGGCCTATTTTTAGCTCATTTGGTCAGAGGTCAGGGGAACTAATATATATGAAATAGTAAGGTGTTAATCATTCATCCATCTGTCTATCTGTCTTAAAACAATTTTTCAAAATCATACTTCACCATTTGTTGTCTAATTTCAATATAATTTGGTACAAAATTAGACTACACTACAATTTTGGATTCTGCATATTGGTTTGTGATTTTGAGACTACTGCTGTTGCATAGTTTCATGTCCAAGGTTATTTTGTTCTTCCTTTGTTTTTAAATACAAATTGGTAAAGCTTTAGTCTCATAAGAGACTTTGGTTGAATGTTTTAATAGTTGTATGCAGTCAGGGAACCTATTATAACAGCACAAGTCAGAATTGTGAGTACTGTCCTGTGGGAACTTATGGAGATGAAGAAGGAATGACGTCATGTAAAGTCTGTGTACCTGGGAAAACAACACTGGGTGTTGGGAATTATGAAATTGCCGGTTGTGTAGGTAAGTTTTTGCTGTTGCCTGTGCCTTTTGATATTGCACCATGATAACAAAGTAATTTTACATTACAGGCAATAACCTTGCATGATGTACCAATTACCATGACTGTATGAGTATTATACAAATTGAAATTCTTTTCATTTATGAGCCTGCTAAGCAATTATTAATACTTTTCTGATCAGAGACTAAATTTTTACATTCGTGTTGTCTATCTTTAGCTAAACAGTAATTTCAAAAAAAAATTTTTCCAAAACAGTTTCCCATGGACTGATTTTCATCAGACTTGGTGCTCAAGTAGACTGTAGACTATACCAAAATACATTATTCCTTTTATGATATTTTGATTTGATCAACAGTGTTTTCATGGTTAATAAAACTAGAATATTCATCAATTTTTCTTTTAGAATGCTACTCACAAATAGTGACTAATGTTTATCTTTCCATTTTTAGGTCACCTGAGTAAACTCAGGTGACCTATTGCTATCCATTTTTGTCTGTCGGCATTCATCGTTCATCATGCATTAACATTTGAACATTGTCAGGTTCTTCTCTGAAACCTCTCAACCAGTTTCAACCAATTTTAACATATAGCATCTATGGGTGAAGGGGAACAAAAATAGTGAATTTCATGGTCCCTGCCCTCTTGGGGCTTGGGGGATGGGGCCAAAACCACTAAAATTTATGCAATCTTTAAAAATCTTCTTCTTTACTCCTGGACAACAAGCATTAAAACTGTTGGTATGATTGTAATCAGCATTGACTCTTCTACACAAATTGTGAAATAAATTTGTAGGACTCCAAAGTGCGATGGGACTCCAAAGTCCGATGGTCACGCCAAAGTCCGATGGTCCACGCCAAACCCCGATGGTTTGACACGCCAGAGTCCGATGGTACACAAAACAACGTTTATGACGTCATAGTACTAATGCGCCAATATCTCTCGTAATGGTGCGAAACTAACACTAATCGCTCGAAAAGTGTGTAGGCCTAACAACTATATAGATATCTAGATAGTAGATATCATGGGTGGGTGCCCTAATAACTCGGCTACTGTGTGAGGATTAACCCTAAATCAAAGGAAATAAAAGGGCTAACCCTTATCAGTTGAGTGGTGTGCGTGAACTTATCCTAATATCTCTGAAACATGTAAGCAATAAATAAGTAAAAGCGTATGCAAGGATAAATTCGGAAACTATGGCATTTGAATGCAGGAAAACGGCGTCAAGGATTGACGTCGAATTATTGTGACGTCATAAGCGTCGATTGTTTCTCCACACCATCGGACTTTGGCGTGTCAGACCATCGCACTTTAGCGCAGCGTGTCTCATAGGAAACGAGCCATCGGACTTTGGCGTGACCATCGGACTTTGGCGTCCGTACCGACAACAAACCATCGGGGTTTGGCGAGACCATTGGACTTTGGCGTCACCATCGGACCTTGGAGTCTTACAAATTCATGGCCCCAGGGACAGGGGTTCTAGTGCAAGGGTGGAGCTCTATTGATTATATAGTGAAAATGCATTATTTCTTTGAATTTCTTCTTCTTTGCTCCTGGGCATTAAATAAACTAACCAAGGGAAATGCATGGTTATATTGATTATGGCTGCCTCTTCAAAATTTGTGAATTTCATGGCCCCAGGGTCATGGGTTCTAGTACTAAGACGGTGGCTATATAAATCATATAGTGGAAATGAATTGTTTCTTTTGTTTCTTTGAAAATCTTCTTATCGGCTCTTGGGTTTTAAATAAACTAACCAGGTACATAGTTAAGTTGAAAAAGGCTACCTCTTCAAAAATTGTGAATTTCTTGACCCCAGGGTCAGGGGTTCTTGTGTTAGGGTGGGGCTCTATTGATTATATAGTGAAAATGCATAAAAAAGCATTTTTAAAAATCATCATCTCTGCTCTTGGGTATTAAACCAATGAACTATGTATATATATATATATGATGAGGAAGGATGCTTCTTCCAAATTTGTGAATTTAAGAGCCCCTGGGTCAGGGGTTCTTGTGTTAAGGTGGGACTCTAATGTTTATAGTGAAAATACATGAATTTTTTGAAAATATTTTCCTTTGTTCCTTGATTTATGCCAATGATCTAAGTACATGTTTATGATGAAGAAAGCTGTCTCTTCCAAAATGGTTATTTTCAGGGCCCCTGGAGTAGAGTGGGGGGGGGGGGGGGGGAGGGTACCTAGTCTGAAAATAAATTAATGCTTTGAAATTTGCTCTTTGGTTTTAATCAACAATTTTTGATGAAATAAAATTCATGAAAAAATTTCCAAAATTATGAAATTTGTAGCCCCAGGATCAGTGGTTCCGGTGGGATGGTTTGCACAACTGGTTATAAAGTGAAAATGCATTTTCTCTTTGTTACTCTGATCTACCTCTGGGTATTAATTAAGTAACCAAAGTAAGCGTGCTAAGTGTATAGTTCTGATAAGCTATGGTGTCTCTTTCAAAATTATGAATCTCATGGCCTCTGGTTTAAATACGTATCAAATTCAATTGTTGAAAAGTTGTTACATGATACTCAGGTGACCTATAAGGCCCGTGTTCTTGTTCAAACTTCAAGAGATTATTTATATATACTTTTTCAGAGAGTTGCCTTGTTGGACAGTTTCTGAATTTTACAAAATGTGCTCCCTGCCAGAAACACTTTTACCAAGACATGGCTGGCATGGACTACTGCTTGCCTTGTCCTCTGGGCAAAAAGACAAGTGGAGTAGGATCCAACAGCTCCTCACAGTGTTTTGGTTGGTATCTTTATTTTGATATGCTTTAATTTATACTAACTGTCTTACATTCTTGAAACTGATATTAATGAGGGGGGAAAAGGTATGGAATTATTAGTTGTAATAGGAGGATTGATCCAAAAAGTAATGTTACAACTGTAAGGAAACTTTTAATAATTAAATGTTTTAAGAACATTTGACTTACTAATGCCCCAGTCTATTTTGATTATTGCCTTAAACTTTCATTCAGTTATATTAAAATACTTGTTAGAGTACATGTATAAAGAGAAAGACATTGTTAGATTTGTCTATAGCCCTATAGCAAAAATGTTACTATTATGTTTCATTTAAAATTTAACTTTCTGTTTTAATTTCATTGATTTAAAATGATCGATTCACAAATGTGGGGAGATTTTATTTGCATTTCATCGCCTTAGATATAGGTCTTGCATTGTGGCAACTTGTGTCTTCGTGATAAAAGAGCCAACATCTAATTGTCAATGACAAGATTGTCATACATCAATTTCTGCAAAAAACAGCTGTCGGTTGTTATACAAAATATTTTATATCTCAATCTATATACAAAAAAAGGAAGTCTTTACTAATACTTTTGCATAGAAAGTGTTGTGTTGATGTAGGATGAAATGAACATATATACTCGTACTTGTAAAACACAACAATTAAAACAAACTTTGAGGTTAAATTTCTTGAAGTTGAAATTTTATATAAAATTATCAATCTTTGACACAAGACTCATTCTTTTGAAGTATAATAAAAGTAAAAAAAAAAAAATAAAAAAAAATAAAAAAAAAACCTTACAACATAAAATTCTGGTAACTCAACTTTGATGACAGAAATTACTTCAAGACCTTTGATCCTTGAATAATTTTATCACCACATAATTATTAAAGGATGACTGCACTAAACGCTTTGTTTTGGGTCTTTTTCGGTCTTTTCTGTGGCTTTTAAATCTCATTCTAAGTTCACTTTTATATATTTACTTCAGAGGTCTGTCAATTAGACACCCGATATTTAATTGTTAAAAATAATTTTACACTGTTATCATGGTAATACTATAATTTATTTCATGTTTCTTTTGCAAATATTGAAAATTTACACTTACCTGCCCTTGATTGAACATTATATATGTGTGAGAGGTGGATCTAACATCGTAAGAATGGATCTAAAATTAGACTGGATGAATAACAATGACATGTATTAAAAAAACAAGATCTCTTTTCTCCATCTTCCTATTTTTCCAGTATGGCACAAGTGCATTATTTAGAAAGGTTTAAAACGTATGAGTCCATCCATGCAAGTACAGAATAATTTAAATCAATGGTTGACTGTCTACTTTGTTCGAGCAGAGTGTCCTTGTTAGCACAAAACATGGTACCTATAAGTCACGTGACGGAATTTAGTATTCACAAAATTACCTGAGGAAAGATATCATGTGCTGAATTATAATATTTAACGTGTCACAGTCCTTGGTTACAACAGAGAGAGCAAGTGTAAGACGTAGTAGTTTTTTCTCTTTTAAATCATGAGAGCATGTTTGTCTATTTATCTTCTTATCACACAATATTACTAATACAAATATACAACTACTGTTAAAAGGAGAACAATAGACAAATATATGCTGAATATGTGTAAATTAAGTCATTAAAAATGGGCATCATTATCATACGGAGATCTAAGAAATTGTTATGACCCTTGCCTAAGAAAACAGATTCGTACATCGTAAATACATACTTTTATTCATTGTAATTAAGTAAAGTGTAGATTGTTGATCATTCCTGCAATAAAAAGAAAAATGTCTTTTTTGAAAAGTTATTTTATGCAAATTTTGCATATCCTTAAGTGCAGTCATCCTTTGACATCATCAAAAAGTTAAAATCTTCAGCTTAGCTAATATTTATTTAGTCTATTTAAATCAGATCTAGACACCTGTAAGGAAAAATAATGGTTTGAACTAAGAAATAATTGTTTGTGAAATACTGATGTAAATTTCAGATGATTGTGCAGAAGGAACAGAACTGAAACCAGATGGGCAATGTGTGGAATGTCCTCGTGGGTACTACCGCAGTTTTTTAGAGGATGTCTGTACCCCTTGTACAGCTGGAATAACAACTGCTGGGAATGGCACTACAAATGCCTTTAAATGTACAATAAGTATGTATACAGTAGGTTAAAAATGTATTACAATAAATTGTATTGATCTATGTCCTTATAATCAGTTTCACTTGATAAGCATTTGGCTTCACTCACTGCTCACAGGGAAGATAATGCAAAGTTCATTGTATTTACTTTAAAAAAAACAGAATTTAAATGTCCGTTGGGTATTAAATTAAGTTATTTTGTTATTAACAATTAACAATGAAATTAAATTCCACACAAAATTTTCATACAGCTATACCGATATATTAAATAAGGTTTTTAGGTCACCTGATTAAACTTAGGTGACCTATTGCTATCCGTTTTTGACCCCCCCCCCCCCGATTTATGGAGAATACCCATACGGGAGGGGTGAAACCCCATAAAATTGAATGTAATGGGGTACAATAAGGCCTAAGGTGATGTTTAATTGAATGATATTGATATCCATAAATTTTTATAGCCAATTTTACCTCAGAATCGACGGAAATCAGGCGCCATTACTAGTTTAACGTACACCACGCCCGATCTAAATTCGAAGCGAGCTGTTTGTCAACATAATTGTATAGATAATATTAAAATAATTCATTATAATTTTCGCAATTATATTTGTTTTACAATGATAATAGTAAAATATTGATTATGTAATAAGTATTTAACAAAAAATGTAAGGACGTTAGCCATAAGAAAATATGAATTTGTGTACTAATTATTCATATTATCCCAATGTTACCAGCTCTAGCCACCTGGAGGCCTACTTTTTGTAGAGCCATAATTTAAGAATTTTTTTTTCATTTATGAGATTTTAGAGAAGATCTGAATTTAGAGATATAAAAATATCCAAAAGCTTCAAAGCAACAATAACAATAAAAAATAGTAATGATAATCCATTACTTATTTGTTACAAAGAGAAAAAAAAACTAAATAAATTTCAAGATATGAAAATACTGAATTTATTTTTGAGATTTTAGACAAATTCTGAATTTAGAGATATAGAAATATGAAATTCAAAGGTTCAAAGCAACAATAATAATTAAAAATGAAAATAATAATTACTTATATGTTACAAAAAATAAATCAATGTCAAAATATGAAAATACTGAAACCTGAAAAGAAATTATAGTAAATTAAAATAATATATCAATTTTCAAATATATAGATATTTTATTTCAAAGTAACCTTTTTATGTTCTTTTCTTACAGTTGTTTACATTTTGAATTGTCTTTAAATTACAACATATGAATTAAAAGAAAAAGAAAAAAGAAAAGAAAAAAACACACACCACAAAATAAAATTTTAGAAGTTTTGATTGAATTTTAACTATGAAAAAATCTCAGTCTGGACTGGTTGAAAGTGAACTGAAATTATTTGATCATCTCCAAGCATTGGTATTTTATGTAATTTTACATTTCATTGCCAGTTGAATCTGTCGACTAAAAATTTCCATTGTCTCTCTGTTCAAACTAATCCCATTGACATGCCACATGTTTTTATTCGAATTCATTACACCCCTACATCTCCAAAATATCACATTCTGAAAATTTCCATATTTCCTTCGTAGTGTGTTATTTATGTCAAAAACCGTAGAATTGTACTTTCCTGGATCCATGGTTCCACAAATCATTTGCCTAAATAGACTTCCAATAAATATGTTTTGAACCGAATCATTTCTTAACAGTTTCTCAATAAAGTTTTAGATTTCTAACACTATTTCTGACACAGAAGATGAATTTATATCTTTTTCTCCCACTTGTAGAAACACTTTTTTTGGACAAAATTCAACTGCTCTTCCGAAATATTCATGACTATAAATAAAGCTTTTTGTTGTAGTATCTTTGTCACTAAAAAATTGAACGCAATAATTGTTTGGCAACTTAAAATTCACAGAACCATTTGCTACAATATTCCCTAATTCTAACACATGATTTTGACCAATTACCGCAATTCGTTCTGAATAAGTAATAGATGGAACAGGTCCCTGAGGAGATGTAGGGGTTTCTACAGAGGAAGCTGTTGTAGGACCTGTTGGGAGAGAAATTAAGGGAGCTGCTGAAGGACTCAGGATGGGTACAGGATGGCTTGTAGCTGGTGTAAATGACGGAGCTGCTGCAGGAGGAATTGATGAAGCTGCAGTCGGGATGGGTGCTGGAATTGACGGAGCTGATGCAGGACCTTGGACGGGTACAAGGTGCATTGTAATAGGGGAAATAGTTGAGGGAGCTGCTGGAGGACTTGGTGCGGGTACAGGGTGAGGAATTGATGAAGCTGCTGTTGGGATGGGTGCTGGAACTGTAGGGGAACGTACTGATGGAGCACTGGTTGCATTGGCCAGTATTCCTCCCCCGCCAGACGGGTGCAGACCATTGAATACTGTTTAGTGTTGTGTTAGGTTAGAACTTAGAGTAGGGTTAGTATCAGGCAGTATTCCTCCCCCGCCAGACGGGTGCAGACCAGTGAATACTGTTTGGTGTTGTGTTAGGTTAGAACTTAGAGTAGGGTTAGTATCAGGCAGTATTCCTCCCCCGCCAGACGGGTGCAGACCATTGAATACTGTTTAGTGTTGTGTTAGGTTAGAACTAAGAGTAGGGTTAGTATCAGGCAGTATTCCTCCCCCGCCAGACGGGTGCTGACCTGTGAATACTGTTTGGTGTTTTGTTAGGTTAGGTTAGGTTAGGAACGTAATTGTTTTTTAAATGTTGCTAATTAAATTATAAATTCCTTTCTCTAAAATTTTTATAATGTTATTTATTTTATGTATATTACTTTCAATTGGCTGTAATATTTTTATATTTGAACAAAAGATTGACTAGGAATAATGATACAGTATCTTTAAGTCTTTTTAAAGTCTTTTTAAAGTTTTTTTTTTATTTTCTTTTTATCTTTCGGTCATCTTTCGGTCCTTTGGCTTTAATATTTTTCTGTTTCAAAATTCAAATCATGGCTCTTAACTTAGGGAGGCCTCCAGGTGGCTAGAGCTGGGAACATAAGGAAACTATGAATATTTTCAGGTATTACTAATTTAAAAGGTCTTTATTTATTAATTTGTCATGAATTATCAAAATTATCAAAATTCATATTTTCCTTATGTGTGTGCTAACGTCCTTAAAATGAAATTCTGTAAAGCATAACAATTGAGCATAGTAAAGGTTCAATGTATATACACATGCCCTGCCAGAGGGGGGTTGGTCAGACAAGCTGAGAACCCAGGTGTTTAAACAAAAGGTGTTTATTATCAACTTGACCAAGTGTCAACAGCTGTGTATATATTGCATGTACACACACAGGAGTGCCTGTCTATCCCAGTACAAAACAACAGAGCCAGCTAATGTGTGAATAATATTCTCTCAATAATCTCACAATACCAACTTTACATATGCAACATGCACATTCTGACCTGGATTCTAATAATTTCATTGTAATGGATACATATTGCTTTCTCATATCAATGAGTATATTTTTTTCTATTACTTGCATAAAAAAACAAAACAAAACAAAACAAAAAAAAACACTCCCCCAAAAAAACAGAACCAAAAAAATTACAACAAAAAATAAGTAACTGGAAAATAATAATGAATGAATACTGAATTTTAAAGTTAAATATTAAAACAGAAGAAAACATCCAAAACAAATACCTTAATTAAAAATTAAATAAATTAACAAATTCATTCATTAGTTAATTTAATTTAATTACATATTATATATGATTGGAATTTAGAAAAAAATGACTTTATTCCTTGATTAATGGACTAGTTAAATTCATTAAAAAAACATTCAATTAAAAATTTCACTGTAATGTCTTTCAATATAATAAATAAATTAACAAATTTATTCATTAGTTAATTTAATTTAATTACATATTATAAATGATTGGAATTTAGAAAAATGACTTTATTTCTTGATTAATGGACTAGTTAAATTCATTTAAAAAAACATTCAATTAAAAATTTCACTGTAATGTCTTTCAACATCATAAATAAATTAACAAATTCATTCATTAGGTAATTTAATTTAATTACATATTATAAATGATTGGAATTTAGAAAAATGACTTTATTTCTTTATTAATGGACTAGTTAAATTCATTTAAAAAAACATTCAATTAAAAATTTCACTGTAATGTCTTTCAACATGATAAATATTTCAGACTTCATTTATATTCTTAAGGTTTCCTAACAGATATTTTTTTTAAAATAAAATTCATATAAAATATACTATTCATATTGATCAAGATTACGGTAATTATTTCCACGGATTACTCGAAACGACTTCAGCGATCGCGATTTTAGATCGGGCGTGGTGTACAGTATATCAAGACAAGATATGGCGCCCGATTTCCGTCGATTCTGAGGTAAAATTGGCTATTAAAATTTACGGATATCAAAATCATTCAATTAAACATCACCTTAGGCCTTATTGTACCCCATTACAATCAATTTTATGGGGTTTCCACCACTTTATTGGGGTTTCACCCCTCCTGTATGGGTATTCTCTAAAAATCGGGGGGTTTCAGGAATTTCCAGTTACCGTATTCAACCAATTAGACATGGACTCACATCTAAAATATTTTAATCATCATTTTATATCCCTGATATAGTTAGACACGATTCATTGTAAAATAAAATTTTACCGCGAATTTTACCTCAACTTGTTATGTACCATATGTGATTAAAATAATTCTAGAATTTAAACATCTTAAAAAAAAACACACATATAAAAATGCCAAACACTAAAATATTTTAACAGAAAGTTTATATCAACGTCTGAAACCTTGCCCCAACTACTTGGACACATGCTCCAAAGTTCAATGTGCATCTGGTGTATTTAGGTTGTCAATGCTTTAACTCCCATTTCATGAACTTTCTTGTTTTTCATCGATGGATTTAAAATTACCGTCTATAAATGTCTTGAAATGACATTCTTGATATACCCCCCGCTTGAAAAGTGGGAGGTTATATAGTAATCGGTATTTCCGTCCGTCCGTCTGTTACGCTTTGGGGTACCCATCTCTTATCCGCAAC